CACTTGGAGACCCCTGCCTGGCTTCTGGTAGTGGCCACCTGTGCCAGGCCCGCAGCATTCAGTCCACAAAAAAGGAAAATCAACCTTTTTTGCCAGAGCTCGTCAAGCACATTTCTGGTGGGGAAAGCACCTGAGGAACATTCTAGAAACCACTGCCACTTGGAGATGCAGAGGTGGCCCAAAACCTTTCAGTAGACCCTGGTGAACACCACTTGGAGACCCCTGCCTGGCTTCTGGTAGTGGCCACCTGTGCCAGGCCCACAGCACCCAGGCCACTATAAAATGAAAAATCAACCTTTTGGAGCCAGAGCTGGTCAAGCACCTTTGTGGTGGGGAACATTCTAGAAACCACTGCCACTTGGAGATGCAGAGTCTTTCATGTTATTTGGCCACCTCTGCATCTCCAAGTGGCAGTGGTTTCTAGAATGGTCCTCTTTCCCCACCAGAAATGTGCTTGACCAGCTCTGGCAAAAAAGGTTGATTTTTCATTTTATAGTGGCCTGGCACAGGTGGCCACGTACTACCAGAAGCCAGGCAGGGGTCTCCAAGTGGTGTTCAGCAGGGTCTTTCCCCACCTGAAAGGCACTTGGCCACCTCTGCATCTCTAAGTGGCAGTGGTTTCTAGAATGTTGTTCAGGGGCTTTCCCCACCAGAAAGGTGCTTGACCAGAGCCTCTGGCTCCAAAAAAGGTTGATTTCATTTTATAGTGGCCTGCGTGCTGTGGGCCTGGCACAGGTGGCCACTACCAGAAGCCAGGCAGGGGTCTCCAAGTGGTGTTCACCAGGGTCTTTCCCCACCTGAAAGGCACTTGGCCACCTCTGCATCTCCAAGTGGCAATGGTTTCTGGGGGCTTTCTCTGGCTCCAAAAAAGGTTGATTTTTCATTTTATAGTGGCCTGGGTGCTGTGGGCCTGGCACAGGTGGCCACTACCAGAAGCCAGGCAGTGGTCTCCAAGTGGTGTTCACCAGGGTCTTTCCCCACCTGAAAGGTTTTTGGCCACCCCTGCATCTCCAAGTGGCAGTGGTTTCTATCTAGAATGTTCGCCAGGGTCTGGCTCCAAAAAAGGTTGGCTTTTCATTTTATAGTGGCCCTGGGTGCTGTGGGCCTGGCACAGGTGGCCACTACAAGAAGCCACCTTGAATAGTTTCATCAATTCCAAGGAAGGGGTCTCCAAGTGGCATTGGTTTCCAGAATGTTCCTCAGGGTATTGCCCCACCTGAAAGGTACTTTACCACCTCTGGCTTGAAAAGAGCTTGTTTTTTCATTTTATAGTAGTCCTGGGCGCTGTGGACCACCACAAGAAGCCACATTGAACAGTTCCTGTCAATTCCAAGGAGGAAGTTCTCCCAGTGGCAGTGGTTCCTAGAATGTTCCCCAGAGGCATTCCCCACCAAAAAGGTACTTGGCCACCTCTGCATCTCCAAGTGGCAGTGGTTTCTAGAATGTTCCTCACGGGCTTTCCCCACCAGAATGGTGCTTGACCAGCTCTGGCTCCAAAAGAGGTTGGTTTTTCATTTTATAGTGGCCTGGGTGCTGTGGGCCTGGCACAGGTGGCCACTACCAGAAGCCACCAGGCAGGGGTCGGTTTCCAGAATGTTCCCCAGTGTCTTTCACCGTCTGAAAGGTACTTTACCACCTCTGGGTTGAAAAGAGCTTGGTTTTGCATTTTATAGTGGTCCTGGGTGCTGTGGACCACCACAAGAAGCCACATTCAACAGTTTCTGTCAATTCCAAGGAAGAAGTTCTCCCAGTGGCAGTGGATTCTAGAACCTCTGGCTCCAAAAAAGGTTGATTTTTCCTTTTGTAGTGGCCTGGGTGCTGTGGGCCTGGCACAGGTGGCCACTACCAGAAGCCACATTGAACAGTCTCTGTCAATTCCAAGGAAGAAGTTCTCCAAGTGGCATTGGTTTCTAGAATGTTCCTCAGGGTCTTTCCCCACCTGAAAGGTAATTTACCACGTCTGGCTTGAAAAGAGCTTGGTTTTCATTTTATAGTGGTCCTGGGTGCTGTGGACCACCAAAAGAAGCCACATTGAACAGTTTCTGTCAATTCCAAGGAAGAAGTTCTCCTAGTGGCAGTGGTTTCTAGAATGTTCCCCAGAGGCATTCCCCACCAAAAAGGTACTTGGCCAATCTTGTTATAACATGAAATTCAACCTTGCAATGTTCAATCATGTTTCTATAAAATAGAATACCAACCTCTCTTGCCATTGCTGCCTAATCTTGTTATAAAAAGAAATCCTAACCTTGCAATGTTCAATCATGTTTCTATAAAATGGCATACCAACCTCTCTTGCCATTGCTGCCTAATCTTGTTATAAAATGAAATCCTAACCTTGCAATGTTCAATCATGTTTCTATAAAATAGAATACCAACCTCTCTTGCCATTGCTGCCTAATTTTCCTCGAAAATGGTATACTCAGCCTTGCAGTGTCCACCGACTTGTCTATAGAATGAGGACCGACCCTGGCTGTTTCCCCCACTTCTCTATAGAATGAAAACCAACCCTGGCTGTTTCAATTAGACAATTCAGATTTTGAGCCTACAATTCTGTTACATTAGTGCCTTCAAGGGTGACCCCCTTTATTCTATAGAGAAACTATGCTGTACACTACAAGGGTTGAAAGCTAGATTCTATAGTGGGGCACTTTGCTACCAGAGGTTGGTTGACCAATTTATCACTATAGAATGGCGTTCTCAACCCCCACCGGTAGTACCAAGGGGGATATTGTATATGTATATATATATATGTTGTATATATTATATATGTATATATTATGCAACGACAACTATGTGGATATGTTATGTGTGTAGAATGTGTATATATATATACACAATATATAGTTCTAGCATTTGGTTTGGAAGTCTCTCTTGGAATTTGCATGCTGTTATTGATGTCCATCACTTAGGGAGCTGCCTCATGAGTTGACCGTTCGTAAGCGGAATCCCTTGGGTGACTGGTTCTTTTCTTGGAAGTCAAGGGTTGGTACACAAAGTCACCCTGTAGACTCACATGTGAAGTTGCGGACCTGGATATATGAACTGTTCTTAACCAGGTGGTCTTCCCAGTCGTCTTCGTTCTCGACCTAGTGAATGATGTGACATGTGCCTCAAACCAATCGACCCGGTGGCGACTTCGACCTGAAAAGGGACCGCAACTGGTTGCGTATTGCCTGCGACCCAGGTCAAAGAACAGGGAGAGACCCAGGAGGAGCTGCGAACTCACTGTGAGGACGGGAACGGTCGTGGCCTGGCCTTCCGCCAGGGGGAGGGCGGCTTGGGCCGCCACAAGTGATTTGGACGATGGGAAGGTGTATGTTTTTCTTAAAGGAACTTATGGCGAAGCAAGTGAAAGCTCACCGGTGAAGAAGCAAGTAGTAGCAACTACAGCAAGCAAGGAAGAACAATTAGTAAGACACTTCAGAAGGTACAATACAAACCAGGGAAGACAGGTCTTGTTTTAGGAATATTCGCCGTAATTCCAGACCACAAATCAATCACGAGGTTTGAAATCATTTACCAAACTATACACAATAATATATTATACGTTATATACAGTATATATATACATGTAAATATACCCAGACCATCAATGAATGGCATAATGGATAATTACCTTCATGGACGGGTCACTTTTATGGGGTAAAATGCATGTGTATATATATATAGTAAGTATTCCAATCCCATGGATGATCTGGGGTATTCCAATCCCATGGATGATCTGGGTACATGTAGCTTCTGTCGCGACGGACTCAAATCAAGTTTGGAAACCATTTCCTCAGCTTGAAAGACCCGTTCCTCTCATATGATTTGTTTGTTTCTCATACTGAGAGGCAAACCAAACTGTTGTATCATCTTCTAAGAGGACTCAACCTCTTCTAAGAGGACTGTAGTAGGAAACTGTTTGTCAAGTTGCCAAGAGGCAAAGTCGTTTTTTTGGAGATATCCTCACTACTCCTAGGGTTGGTTGAGTATCATGTATCCTCCATCCCACATGTCTACAGAGGTTCTTCCACGTCTCGGGGCCGTCAGGAGCTGAAGGAAGCAGTCCGGAAGCCCCGTCAGACGGGACGTGACTGGTCAACCCCCCACGGCGAAGGTAGAACGAACACCTCGCGGGTTGATGAAACATCCTTTGTTAAGCCTACAGCTCTGCATTGGGCGCCATTTGTTCACACAAAATCACATGTGGCAAGTTGGGCTAAGCTAGTTCAAGTTCCTTTTGTGGTAACATCTTTGCAGTCGGCTGAATGGATCTAATGTCTTAACTACTCCCGACTTGGTGAGGAATTGGGTTTGCTTCATCCATTTCCATATCATATATTCCATGCATTGTGTGTGATCGCTTTAATCCACCTAGTCCCAGTGCAAACATCAAGGGCACTTGTTGGATCTTGTTGGGGTGCATATATATATATATATATATTACCTTCGACTGTCCAGCATGACTGTCCGTGGTTCAAAAAAGAGCTCCCTTCTCCTAATTGGACTCTCCTGAGACGAAGCTCTCCACGAAGGGTACACTGCTTGAGGTGAACCAACAGCGGGAGACCCAACAGGAGCTTCAAAGAACTTGCAAGGCAGGGCACCGGCGCACCTGCCCTGCGAGCGGTACCGATTGGGACCCGTGCGTTACACTGGATGGTTCCCGTTTTTTTTTTGGTGTGTGTTTTCAACCTTTTTAACTTGGGATGAGTGAACTCACTGGCTCTTTAATGTTTCAAGTGCATTGAAACGACCGACCAGAAAACATTTGCACTTAGGCTGGTGTGATTAGTGTTGCCACTTGCAGTGAGTGCCCCTACTTGCAGTCCGCTTTGACGTGCCCAGTTGATTTTGGGTCCAAGTGACTCAATGACGCGGGAAAGCAACTCGAAAGGTGGACATTGCCAAACACAATCCAAACACAACAACACAAACACATCACCTTTTTACAGGTGTTGAACAACATGGACTAACAAGGAACGGGAACTTGAACATCACCGCTTTCTAAGTTTTATATACCCATTTCCTATGCAAAGGCCCCATGCCATTTTCTTTCACCTATCTTCTTCCACATGGCTGCGAGCGTTATGCGTTTGTTCCTCACTTCAGTATCAACCACATCCGTCGCCGGCAGTGGCCCGGCCGGGCAAGGACATCCAGGACTTGCTGGCCCAGGCCACGACCTGCTGGCCCGTCGTGTTGGATGGCTGAGCGGTGCAAATCATGAAGCGGTATATCAAGTCCAACTGAACGCATACCAAACGGCACCCCGTTGAAACAAACGTCCAGCCTCTTCCTACGGCGCCGGTCGCCACCAGGTCGTGCGCATCGCCGAGACCCGGCAGAGCCGAAAGTCCAAGAAGCGCCACGAAGGCGCGGACGCTCCGCGCGTGCGGCGGAGACCGCGGTCTCCGCGGCGCATGGCCGCACACAGCGGCGGCCAGGCGTTGATGGTGGGGGGGCCATGGGTTCACCTGATCAGATGGGTTGGAAGGTGAGGGGAAGGGTGGTGAGAGCCCCAGAGCATGGGATGAAAACAGTATTTCAACGAGTGGGTGAGAGCCTGCTCATTGGGGGTCTCCTCAAGTTGGATTGTTGTTTTCTGGTATCAGCTGCCCTTGCTGTTATGAATCTTTATCATGTTCGCTAGATGCCCAGGGTGACATGAAGCAGGTCCAGCTGACTCTGGCAAGCAGTCGTGGGGTGGCGAGGCCAGCTTTTGGGCTTCAGGGTACTGCGAAATGCTCCAGGTCTGATTCGCTCATTCCCTACTAAGTCCAAGAACCATCCATGCAGCCCAGGGTGTGCAAATTGGAGATGTGTGCAGTTTGTTCAACTTGAATTCAGGGTTTATTGGAAGATCATTCTCCTAGGGAAGATGAGCGTATGTAGAGCAAATTCTACCAAACTCTTCCAGATTCTCCGTTGTAACGCCCCAAAAGACCAGAGCAGATCTCAACATTCACCCCATTCAGGATGGCTAGCTGCGTCACCAGCACTTGCTGAAGTCCCTCGTAAACCTCCGCTTGGATCCCGAGGATACCCCAAGCTGATCAATCGGATGGGATGGATCGATGGCATGCACAAGGAATCGCTTTTTGTTTTTCCAAGCTGCACTCAAGTCATGGATACCAGATGATACAACATCTTCAACATCATATCTGTGGTCTTTATATATAATATATGATGTTTTATTACTATGTAATACTAAATGTAATTATTGTTGTTAATTTGTTTACATCCAATATGTTTACTCTAAGAAAACCTCTTTGTCATGCATCAACCCTTTCCAAGGCAACCACCCCGCGTCTCCTCGGCGTCTCCTCGGTTTCGTCACAGGGGAGCCTGAGCCGCCCGGCGGCGCAGAGGCGGAGCTCCGCCGTAGATGCGAAGGGGATCGTACATACCATGGTGTCTTCGTTTGTCCCTTTTTGCACATGAGCTTTCTAGATTGAATGGAACTTTGAATTAACTTTCAACATGGGTTGATAGAAGAAACTTCGACACCACTTTGCCCGTCAGTGCACCAAACCTCTACCATCCGGTGCTGGGCGTGTCTTTGTTCTATCAACACTCCCCATTTGGGCTCCAACATGCTCCAACGGCTCCTCCATTTCAGGTGGTTGGGGGAGGGTGCCTGGGGAGGTGGTCCGTATACCAGCCCAAAGGGCAAAATGACCGTGCAACGACTGGGGGGAACAACCGAATGAGTCTCATGTGATGTCGAACTCTACATGTTTGTTGTCTCGGGGCGAAGCCTCCACAGATCTGTGTGTCGTGTGCCACAGCCAAGGAGTGCTAATTACGGACAAAAGAGGGTTTACTACCACAAGCCGTAGCAAGAAGCCTAAAAGGTGTGCGTCTCTTGGGAAAATGCCTTTTGTTGGGACAGTCCTATCTCAGTTCAAAGGAATCGCAGGAAGCCTGCATCTGGGAAGACTAGAGTAGTCACAGGGTGGATGGGGGAAGGAAAACCTGATAAGAGATGGGGGCCAACCCATTTTGGGCTATGTCGGCAATGTCCATTATATAAGTTTACAACCCTTTAAGGAGTAAGTCAGCGAATGAGTTTGAACATTTGTTGCGGCCAACTTCTTGTCCCCCAGGAATTCAGGGTGGGTATTGCTGTGTCTATCAATCTGTCGGAGGGTTCGAAAGCACGTTCTCGCCGTCTCAATCTGTCGGAGGAAGACCAGGTTTTCCAAGTCACAGACGAGGTGTTTTCAGACCAGAGATTGCTGAAAAAGCTGGGATGATCTGATGAGCTCCATCGGATCCACACGCACTTGAAGGAGGGGCGATGAATCATGTCTACCTGTGGACTGTTGAAGAATAGAACACCCCAAGCCTTTCTCGATGTAGAAGCAGCTAGGGCCTAGGGTCTATTCATACTACCAGTCGACATGATTCGTTCTACTCCCCGTAGAATCCAGGGTTGTCCCATCAACCGTCTCGGTGACAAAAGGATCCTGTGAAACAACAAGCGAATGGAGTTTGGGTCTCGGTTCCAATGATTTCAGTCTCCTTCTTGGCGTGGCTGGCTTCTTGGTGAACGAATAAGAATAGTTAGATGCGTGACGTAGCACCGAGAGCATATATGTTCGACAAACATTCTGTTCCCTCAGAATATACCCCACAAAGACCTTACACTTGTGCTCAGGTTGAACCCTTGTTGTTTGGAATCCGACTCAAAAGCAGCGTCTTTGCAGGTGAATGGCCGCGGCAATGAGCCTTGCTTCAGCCTCGGGTGAGCACTGTCGGCTTCGCCTCAAAGAAGGGCGGTGACCGCGCAGAGCCGGGGATGGACTTCTTCAAGGGTTACTAATTACTCCTTCAACCTAATAGCGATGGCCTCCACCCTACTAGCGATGGCCTCCACCCTACCAACGATGGCCTCCACCCTACTAACGATGGCCTCCACCCTAATAGCGGTGGCCTCCACCCTAATAGCGGTGGCCTCCAACTTAATGGCGATGGTCTCTAACCCAGTTAATGGTGATGGCCTCCTACCTTGAACGCTTTCAAGGGGTTCCTAGTTGTTCCAAGTTGTTTCAAGGGTAGCCCTCAAGCGTAACAAGTGAATAGTGTCTTGAGTTGTTTGCCGAAAGAGTGTGAAGAGTGTTCCAAGTGTTTTTTTAATCAAATCAAGTCCAGTTGTTCAAAGCAAGTGTTGGGTCGTCCGGATCTGAGTGGCACATGTTCAGGTCGAACAATGAAGCTTCGGGTGATTGGTATACTTGAAGAGTTCTGAACGGTCGCTACATCCCTACATTAATGGGAGACCGAGGCACACAGACCGATTCCTAGGCCGCCGGCCGTGTGGGCCGTGTGTTTCAAGGAATGGAACAAATCAAATCCCTAGGGCTCCAGTCGTACCTCGGAGAGTATGACTGGAGCCTCTAAACCCACCCCAGTCCCAACTTCTTAGAAGGTACGACTGGAGCCCTAGGGAATATGAGACAAGACAACTACAGCGTTATCTCCGATGCATGCGTGCAACACACTCGGCAGCGCACTCGGCAGCGCAGAGTGGACAACTACAGCCGCTGGAACATCGGTTGAACCATCCGAAGAAAGTCAGACTGTGGTTTCGTGGGATCACATGACCTGTTGGTGTCGACTGGAAGCCTGGTGTCACATGTTTGTCAACCAGTTGTCAATTTTCAGTCCAAGTCCAATCCGATTGACCAATGTGTCGAATGCAGAAGAAGTTGAGGAAAGATCTCCTTCTTCCTGACTAGTCTCGACCCCAAAAAGGGGTGGGACGGCAGGACCAACGACGGGGCCGTTGCTGTCTCAAGGGTGATTGTCAAGTGCGCGATTTTTCTGGAGGGTCAACATGTCAACCTTGCTTCCTTCAAGATCAACTCAGATCTATTGAGATCCACTTCTTCATTATCCTATAGGAAGCATGGTGGAAAAACTGAGATTTTACATGATATCATGATTTCTCCTATTCCGGCTGAGTACAAATAGACTCAGAAACTGTTTGCCCGTCCACCAGAGACTTCAGGATGAACAGTGACTTCTAAACAAAAGCCATCAATATTCCCGCTGATTGGTGGTTTCCAGTTGTTTGCCCAAGGTACCTGGAATGTTTCCGGATGGTGACCAATTCACATATCTTCTTAGGTTGGTTGAATCATCTTGAAACAATGCAAAACAATACACATATGTTGGGTTTTGGACATCTCCCTGACAGCGCAGTAGTAGTGCACGTTGGGAGGATCACATCAAAAAGCGAGCTCGGGAGGTGGGGTGGGTAGTTGTGGGTAGAGTTGAAGGAACCGAAAGAAAAGACGGACGCAAGTGCGTATGATATTCTTAATATATGTTTTATTTTTTTCCACACGCCTTTTCATTATACATGTACATCATCCCATAAGCATGAACAGCAGTTACTCAGTTGTGTATTTCATCACTGGATGTACTTATATCATCTTATGATATACTAGTAACAGTGGCTGTCAGTCAATCAAAACCACATACCCGGAGCATGGCGCAGCATCGCCTCTTGGTTCTTTCCTTCACGGAACCCTCGTTCATATCGATGAACTGACGGGTGCCACAGACGTCCACTCACCCAGGTGCCTGGTCGGTGAGGGACACGGGCAGGGCAAGCATGATCCGACTGAAAGCAGCTCACACATGTTTCACCTGCCGCTCTCGAGGGATCTGTTTCACCTGCGAAAAACAGAGTCGACAAACCTATGGCATCGATCGGACATTTAGGAGCGGCCTATAGGGTCAGAGCTGACAAGTCATTGATGGTCAGTATAGCACTCATGGCATGCTATGTCTCAATTGATTTCACCCCACTGCTGCATTGTCCATGATTGTCCCACTTACAGCGAATGGGAGTTGGGGGGTTGAAGCGCACCAAAACCTGCTGGTTGCAGGAGTTCCCAACAAACATACCACACCACACAAAACACCGAAAGGCCCACCACTTCGCACGGAAGGAACAGGCCGTTGAACTCCGTGTGACCACCATTCTGCAGCGAGGAAACGGAGAGCTAGCACCCCCGAAGACCGAAAACTGGTGAAGACGTCACCCTTCGCAGCATGCCGAAATGGCGGAGCTGCCAAAACTGGACTTCGAGGCGGTGTCGAAGTGTTGCGCGATGTTGCGCGCGTAGACGTAGTTAACGCGAGTGTGGCGCGTAACGTAGTGGCGCCAGAGGGGTCTGGTTCGATCATCTCTTTTCTAAAAACAAAGATGTACAGGTTCTTAGTGCAATTCTCGATTTAAGCGATAAACATGTTTAAAGTGATCATCATCCCTCCAATTCGGACTTGCACGCGATCGCTTCGAGGTACGGGGGGGACGTCTGACAGTGATGAACCTTCGGTACCGCATGAGGTCAGCACCGGAGTCAGCACCGCAGCATGAGTGACTATATATTACACAGCGGATGTCCTGGTGTTTCACCCAGAATCCTTTCCAAACCGATCTTCACTGTGATACAGGTTATAGGTTTGGCTCGAGGATGACGTGCGCTGCCCGCAAGCTGGGAAGCTACTTCCTTGCCAAGGGAATCCTAGAGAGACATTGCTCAAGGATCCACTTCCAGCGTGCTCTTGCTTTGCACTGCCTCAATCTCAACCACTCGCATTGAGCCAAATAGGTGTATATATATACTATTAATTGTGTTATACAGTATAATTGTATTTGTATGTTCAGTCCAGAGTGACTGGCATACCGCTGAGGCTTTCACCGGATCGTTTGGCGCGAGAGGTATATATTACAGTATAGTGCTTGCTCCTAGTAGCTTCTTGCTCCTAGCAGTAAGGCCAGGAGCTACTAGTAGCCTCTTGTTCCTAGTAAGGCACTTCACGGGTATATATATATACATATGTCTAAGACCAAACTCCTTGTGCACAAGCTAAGCTTCATGGTCTATTCTCCAATGAGCAAATGACGGAAGCCCTTGAAACACATGAGACCAATGTTGTTCAGAGCCTGCACATTCTTCCCTACGCCGAAGGAGATAGCAATTATAAACAAAGATTGATTTTTACAGCCCTGGCACCGCACCTTGTTGTCAGGTGTATTTTGTTGGACGGTGAATTTCCACAGAACCATCACCATGTTTGAGACTAGAAGAACAGACTGCACCCCCACACACCCACCTCAGCGAACGATGATGGTGTCCCTCCCGGCTTGGTGCACCCCTCCCAACGTCCATCGGCCAGGATGTGCCACGAACGCATCCGACCCCACCAAGCCCATCGTTGGGACATGCGAGGCATGACGGAGTGGCACTTGTGAGTGTCAGTTTTTGCTTGAGTTGTGGGCATGGGTCCACCTTGTTGAAACAACAATGTTGCTGTTGTTATTAATATTTGTTTGTCGTCCGGAAAGAAAGATCGCTCAGTCTTCCCCAAATCGCTTTAACAATTTTATTCATTATGCACAGTGCTTCCTTTCTTTCCATCAGACAAGCATTCTCACCGGCTCAGTAGGTCCTGAGGGACGCAGGGCTTACAGATTCCACTGGTTATGAATGTGCAGAGACTGCGGCTAACATTCCATATTTTTCAGATGTGTCCCAACAAAAAGGAATGTGTTGGGTACAGCAAGTTGATTGCAGTTTATGTAGAATCACTGACTTTTAATATGTGGCTTCAAGTCAGTGAAATGTGGGCCTTTGCTGAGAATGCTTGAAGCAGATGCATGTGATTGGGCCCATATTATCACTTTCAACGGGAGTTGGCTTGTTCGGAGATGTTTGTACTATGAATAGCTGGCAAGCAAGAAACGCATAGCTGGTGGAACGGTTTAGTTTTATGTCATTTGCAAACAACATCCATCAACATGACAAGGGGAGATAGCAGGAGATATGCAACACTGGATGATTTCCCGTTAGAAGCAATGTTCTTTTTAACCTTTGTTGGGTGCAAACATGTGCATAGAAAAAAAAACAATGTTGAAAGAATTTTGGGAAACGTTGGTCATGCCGATTGTTCAGAATCAACTGAGGAGTCCCAAGTTCTTTGTCCTGAATCCAATAGAATCCATGTTTAGCCGCTTCCATTTAGTAAGAAAGAAAGAGCGAGCTGACCTTCGTACTGTACATCATAAACTATAAGTCAGTATCATTCGCTGCACATGAGGGTTCTGTTCTCTATTCTAGCTCATTCCAGTGCATTCAGCTCTTTGTCCTGTGTAATCACATGAGTTTACCTTGTGCATCATGATATGACCCTTTTTTCAGTTGTGCCCTTTGGATGTTGATCGGTCAGTCCATGCTATATTTGTTTGGATTGAACACATTGATCACGTCCTAGTTCATGTTCCTACGCCATCAAACAAGTTCCAACACATGTTTGCTTTGGGTTCCTCTCAAGAGAACCAATTGTGGACGATTTTATTGGCTGCGTCTAAATGGAATTCATGCACAAATCCTGTACAGTGGGCAAACCAGGGATACTTCTCATATCCAAATGCCATTGGTTGGGTTTGTCAGTCCTGTTACCTGTAACAGTCGGTAAACAAGTACCGCTATTTTAGAGAAAGGCCTGCAACCAAATCATCATCCACTGAAACCTGGTAATAGGATACACCCAATCCATTGGCATCTTCAGCCTCCCGTGTCGCCTTCAAAACCCATCCAATCAATCCGTTGATGCACTGTGCTTTCACTCGTCTCAGTCCAACTCGCGTGTCTCATGGACCAAAAAGGAATTCAACAAGATTCCCAGCCTTGGTGTGCCGGGCGCCAAACGATTTACCAGAGCATGAACAAATAATGACACATATGTGTCATATATATATATTATATATACCTGTTTTATGTGTACCAGGATGAACAAATTATACATGTACATATATATCTATATATGTATACACCTGCTGCTACACAAATATAGTTTGAAGTCTTTGGAATCCTGTCAGGATCCAACGTTGCTCCTGTATGTTTGTTCCTTGTACATCGCGTACATATGTCGAAGGCTTTATGCGAAGCACTACTGAAGTTGGGTTCAAAAGCAACGGAGACTGAGGTTGCTGCAGTCTTGTCTTCGCACAGAGTTGCGTCCCTGCAGCAGATCTTGAAGACATTGTCAGAGAAGAAACATGCCCAGTTGGTTTTTCACACCCTCGAGGTACTCCGAAAGGAGGCCTTTCCTGGGATGAATGCGTTCAACTATACGGTCGGGATGTCCAGCTGCGCAAAGTCAAAGTTATGGCAACATGCATGCTTTCTTCTTGCGACAATGCCCGAGGCAAGTGTTCGGCGAGGGGTGATTAGCTACAACGCCACACTCAATGCCTGTGAGAAGGGAGGACAATGGCAGCAAGCCTTGAATCTCTTTCATGCAATGTCAGCTGAAGAGCTGAAGCCCGACACAATCAGCTACAGCGCGACGATCAGTGCTTGCCAGAAAGGTTGGAAATGGCAGCAGGCATTAAATCTATTTCTGTCCATGCCAACAGCAGCCGTAGAACTGGACACCATTTGCTACAGTGCAACCATGAGTGCCTGCGAGAAAGGCAAGCAATGGCAGAAGGCCATGATGCTTCTCGATGAAATGAAGAGATCGAAGATCCTACCAGACGTGATTAGTTACAATGCATGTATCAGTGCTCTTGAAAAGGGAAAGCAATGGCGACAGGCGGTGCTCTTGTTCGAAGAGATGACGGAGTCGACACATAAACGCCTGGGAGTCGACACCTTTACGGCCATCATCGGAGCCTGTGGGAAGGGCAACCAATGGCAACAAGCTGTGATGCTTTTCGAGGCGATCTTTGAGGCGAATCTTCGGCCGAATGTGTTTAGTTACAGTGCAATGATCAGTGCCTTTGAAAAAGGTGGCCAGTGGCAGCAAGCATTGCGGTTGTTTCAGAGCATGGGCAAAGTAAAAGTTCAGCAGAATTTGATTAGCTACAATGCAACCATCAGTGCATGTGAGGCTTGTGGGCAATGGAAACAAGCCTTGAGGCTGTTTGAGGCAATGCCAAAGGCAAACGTTCGCCCAGGGGTGGTCAGCTACAGTGCATGCATCAGTGCCTGTGAAAAGGGTTGGAAGTGGCAAGAAGCCTTGAAGCTGTTCCGTGCAATGCCTAGCGCAAAGATTGAGCCAGGTGTCATCAGCTACAGCGCGACCATGAGTGCCTGCGAGAAGGGAAGCCAATGGCAACAAGCGCTTTTGATCTTTGAGGAGATGCCAAAGGCCAATGTTCAGCGTGACGTGATTTCCTACAATGCCATCATTCTCGCGTGTGAGCGGGGTCAGCAATGGATGCTGGCCTTGAAGTTGTATGAGGCCATGCCCAAGGCGGAGCTTCAGCATGGAGTTGTCGGCGTGACGGATGCCATGGTCATTGCGCCAAGCGAGCTGCTGAAGCTCTTTGAGGCCATGCTCAGGGCAAAGGTTCAGCCTGACATCCGGAGTCACATTGAGAGCCTCATCGGACGTCATTGAGAGTGGCACCTTTGGGCTCTTGGAGAGAGATGTATTTGAGTGTTTCACTCTGTATGGTAACAGAGTCAAATCCACAGAAGAATTCTGGTCTTCTTCTCACCAGGCTTTGACTCAAACACCTAGCATGTTCGGGAGTCCGCATCGAGTGGGAATTGATCCGTGTCTACCTAAAGTGTTGGGTTTAAGGGCAAGGATCATTTCCATGTTTGAGCTGTTCATAGGGTCCTGTATTTGAATCAACTGTGCATGCTTTGCAGATTCATCCGGATTGCACGTTGAGGACTGCCTTAGGGATCTTAGGGATGAAGCGACTTGCTCAGCGCTGGTATGACTGACTACTCCTCAGAAGACCCAGACACCGTTCGGTGAGCATCATCAGGCTTGTTGTTTGTTCTCCCCTCATGGTCATGGCCCCCTATATATGACACCCTCCAATACCGTATCGATCCAACGCTATTGTGAAAATTGCATGCTGGTCAAATAATATACCATATATATATATATACGTTACAATAACTTGGGTTTGCCCTATTCCCTGTAACAGTCGGTAAACAAGTATCACTATTTTAGAGAAAAGCCTACAACCAGGCCCCATCCTCATCCACTGTTACTTGTACTGAGATATACCACAAGCGTAGCCAAACATATTTTTGGGATAGTGAACACCAAGTGTTCAACGGACTGGCCACGACTGGCGCCCCCAACGTGCTTAGCGGAAAAAAAGGGATGCTGGACATGAGAGCGGGCGAAATGACAGGACCTGCTAAGGCTAAGGGGAACAGCCTGTTGACATATTTTCACAAATCCCGACTAATATTTGGATTTAAAGGCTGCTCGCAACTCCACTAAGCAATCCCTCAAATCCACACAATGTCGCTCTCTCAGATTGAATGAGCTGTTTTCTTATTAGTATTCTGAAATAGCGTTCCATTTGACTGCGCAACTCGGAAAACATCAGTTGGCCCACCCTATGTCCTCAGTCACCGACAATATGAGTTGTGAATCGAGCAAGCTGACCTACTCCCTGCCTCATCAAACAAAGCTGGGGTTTGCTGGGTTTGCCTTGCAGCTTGAAAGGCAGTCATGTCCATGTTCAGCTTGAATAGCGTCGTTTCCCACGCGGCATGCGGCCTTTGTTGGCCAACATGTCATCGAGATGTTCTAGACGCCTTGGGACACTGTTCGAAGCAAAACACGAGAAAAAGAACAGCGGGCACTAGACGATCTTTGCGACATCATTGTGGCGGGTGCAGGATTCCTCCTCCAACAGTAGTTTCTACTTTAACTAACTACCCACCGGTAAGCAGCTGCGAACCTTCATGTTTGCCTTGCTTGAGAATAATGACAGAAGATGGCAGAAGGCAGCGAATTGGAAGTGCCAATCAAAAGATATCATATATTTATTATGCAGTATATACAATATGGATCTAGGTTTGATTGCCTGGTTCGGTTCAGTAGATGCAACGACTGGCTCCAGTCCAGATCACCCCTTAAGAATCTTGTGAACGTTGTTGCGAAAGCTCTCAGAGCATTCTTGTCCTTGTGAGGGCGAGAAAGCGCCCTGGAAAGCAAGTTGTTGGGAGCTCAGTGCATATTTGCAGGGACGGAGGTTGGAGATGGGACGGAGTGATGATCATAACATATCACACCTACTACAACTAATTGGGTTGTTGGGGAGATGGCTTTGCTCAAAACTTGGACTCAGCCTCAGTTGCAAACAAAGAACCTCCAGAGAGTAAATCTCTACCAGTTTCTATGATTCTTTGCGTATTTCTCAGAGAGCTTATACAAATTGCCATCACAGTCGTACCAACACGTGAACCTGTAGGTAGAGTTCGGTTTGCACTACTTGATTTCACACAAAGAAGCGAAATCCCTCAATCCCCACTCAAATCATTGCCTATTGTGTTTGAAAGCTAGACCTCGACAGAAACCCAGACATTCCATGTCATGCATCGAGGAAAACATGAATCTGTGTATGCCCACATTGACCCCCTGAAACCACCCCAATTAAGTTAAATACGGCATGCATGGAGTGTTTGGGAAAGTGTTCATGTCTTGTTCTTGCCATCCGGAGGTGCCCGTCCCATCCTTTCAAACACTTCTGGCAGGCTCGGCGTGGCAGCAGGATCGGCAAAGTAGGCGCTGGCGCAGGATCGGGCCCAATGCAGTCGGACGTTTATGTCAAGGGCGCTCAAAACATCACATCGCCACCACGCCACGGGCCGCCAGGGGAGGAGCCACCCGACGAAGTGCGGGACCGGAGCTCCTCCGTGGGCCGTGTGGGGGGATCCCAGAGCGACGAGGTCGGACGACAAGGACGTGTCCGGTGGGGTGTGTTTTTGAGTGAGATAATATCCCTGCCTTCCAATGGGTACCGTAAGACAAAGAGCATATTCACCGGTGAACTGAACTCTAGACTTTTAACTGGTTTGGGGCGGTGTGCTCCTGGTAGGTATAGGGCGGGTCATTTCTCATCCGAACAGCCATCACATGGGTGTAGGGAAGCTTCTAGCTCTCGCAAGCACTCTCGCATGGTGGCAGTATCAAACCTTTGTGTGTTTTGCTCTTGGAGTAGAGGATATCAACAGGCAAGATTACTCTCCCACTTTAAGAACCATCAGGGATTGCTTGACCTATTTTACGGCCACTTTTGTTTCCTTCTTGAGTCTTGAGCAATGCCAGAGTGGTGGTCCACCGAAGGCCTCCTGAAACGACCATGACCCTGTAAGTGATTTGCACTAAGTGCAGATTGTTATTTGTTTGATTGTTTGTTATTTGTTGTGATTTTTGGTTGTGTGTTTGTGTTTTTGCTTTCAGATTCGTGTCTTCCAGTTTGCTTTCCACTTGTGTTGCTCCAGTTTGCATGATACAACCCCTGACCATGTCGAGAGCTTGTGGTTGCTGGTCAGCTGGTCTCACCAGTGGTGGCTTCTGATTCATCACCTTGCACCACCACTTCGACAAAGACGTGCTTCGGGAAGACCGCTTCACTTCCCGACGCCGCTTCTCCGACCGGCTTTGGAACCGGTGGCCGTTTCCCACGGCCGTTTCCCCGTGCCGTGTCCCGTAAGCGCGCAAGGCATGTACTCGGCTGCGGACAGCTTTGCAAGTGTGGAACCCCAAGACGTGGGCTCCTGACATGGGATCAATCTAGGTCAAGATTCCGCAGGGGTCTTTGAGCTAGGAGGTCTCCCTGCCAAGTCGCGACCAGCTCGTCGATCGATGACCCGGTCGTCGCGACCACAGTGAAGAATCTGAAAATAGTTGAAACACCGGTATAGGTAGCGGTGATGTTTGTCCCCCTATCCCAGGTGGTGGCACTGTTCTGAAAATATGTTTTGGCAGCTGGATATGTTTTGGCAGCTGGAATTTGAAACAACATACAGTGCTGCGTTAGACAAGCTTTATTATGCTTGTATAAGTTTATTTATTATTATTCGTATCTTTGTGACAATGTATTTTCTTAATGGCATCCAACTGTTCTTTGAGTTGAAACACATTCAGGCACCCACCCCACATTCAGGCACCCACCCCTTTTGAGTTGAACCCTTGGATTCCGCCACCCACGCTGGTTCTGGATTCTTGCGAACATTTGGTGATCAAACCCTGCAAAGCTTAAATCAAGAGCATGAGGGCCCGGGAACACTTGATTCATGATGCTTGCATAGCCTTTCGAATTTAAGAACCGTTGCAGAACCTTTAGAAATACATTACTTATTTTAATATCCTCATATCGTTCCTTTTGTTCACCTATTCGCCAAGGAATACTTGATGTATCACTTCTGGATGCCCTTGACCGGCCTGGTGGCAGTGGGCCCGGGATGCTCAGGTTGTGGCCGGATTTCTTGAGTTGACAGAGAAATCGACGAAGCGTCGGATCGTCATGTCCTTTTCATTATGTTTTTAACAACCTTCGTTTTTGGCTTCGTTTTGGGAAGCATTTGGTTTGGCTGATGAGTTGTTTGGAATCTATTTGCCGTTGGGTTTGTGAAGTGGTACACAGAAGCATTGGGGTGTCCTTGGGGTGATGTCGGGAAAAGATCAAATCGATTTCGAATGCTGCATCTTTGCCATGATACCACGTGGTCCCACGGGTATTGTTGGGAATCCCATGGTAAAGATGCTGTTTTTTCCCATGCAAGGGCAAATTAAGGGACACCGATTGCAAGAGACTTGGGACGCAAGTGAACCATGAAGATTGAACACAGCCCTAAACAGAGTATGAAAAATTCCGAATTCTTTACTACTGAAGTATGAAGTATATGAGTATGAAGTATATGAAGTACTTCAGTTACATGTTGATGTTTGTTTCCTCTACTTCTTCTGAACACCGGTCGGTCGGGTTCTTCACCCGAAAAACATGTTTCTCAGTTCGCGCGCGCTTTTTTTCTGGACGCGCCGCCTTCGGACCGAGGCAGTGCATTTACGGTTCAGCCGTGGCTGTCCATCTGCGATCTGGTTGCTGCTTGACTGATTCGGTTGACCCATTCGATTGACCCGCGGCTGACCGGGTGAGTGTCTTTTTTGTGGGGCCATCCTGGGCTCATAGATTGGATGAATACCGTCCGACCATCCCATAGGACTGGAATATTTTAATTTTAAGACACAGAGTAACAAGATGTAATAAGTAATTTGATTCATGGAATGTTTCGAATGGCTTGGAATGTGACCTAGCTTGGTGTTCGGGTTGCCCCATAGTCTATGTAAATTGTTGACAAAGTGGTACTGCAAATAGTGAAGATCGAGCTACGTAGACAAACAGAGAACCTCAAATATATGCTTGAAGCCATTCTGGAGGCTAATGATGTAAGCGCCTTGCAAATGCTTAAAACCACATGTGTTGTCCGTAGATGACTGGGAATCAATCATCTCGAGATTGCCTCGTTTATTGTGAGCGCACCACAATTTAAGAGGATCAGGGCTCAGTTTTGAGTGAGCAGCACTCGACTCAAATTTGATCAATCTTTAGAGTGTCGCCGGTCCTTCCTGCACCACCTCAGAACTTCCTGGAAATCCCCTTCCTGGAAATCGTTTTTTATAGTTTTTTATACTATTTCCCAGCAAATCCAAGTCTATCCCCGCGCCGGCCGCATGATTGGCTCCTTGTTGCACTCCCACGTCCTTTCTTCTCGGTATCGAATCGGTTCAGAATCCAGGTAGGACTCCTCTTGCTCCACTCACAGATTTTCCAGGCGCAAACGCGCGGCGTTTGCGCGCGCGCGCGCGCGTCGGCCATCAGAAATAGACCACGGGCCGAAGGACGTATCAAAGTTTGCCTTGGACGTCATGACCAAGGGGCATACAAGTTTGTGAGTCATTGATCAATGTGCGTGAGCAGAATTAGCGCCTGTGTCGTTCGATTTGGTTTCAATCACCAGTCACACAGGATGTGAGTGCAAGAATCAGCCATCTCATCATGTGTTTGGAAGCTGATCCTCGCACAACCAACAAAGCTGCTGTGCCTGTATTCCTGATGCTATAGAAGAAACCACCAAACCTGTGAAGCACCTGGGACAAAACATGACAAAACAACATGTTTCGTCTTTCAACCACTTGTGCGTGGTGGAAAGCATCGAAGCACAAGCTGGATGAGTTTGTCCTTGATGATTTGATGTACGGATAATATCGAACAGCCACATCATCTACCAGGATTGAGGACAGAGATGACGGATCTTGCCTTCTTCTTTTTTCAGATATCCACTCTGTTCGGAAGTCACTGCTTGGGGCTTCTAAAAGGGACCCATGGCTTTCAAGAAAAATATGGTTCTACTTGTGATGCAAACCTTTTTGCTCCACAAAATACCGTGGGGCCCCACATAATTAGGTAAGAACTTGTTTGTTGGACCTGAAGACAAGCAAATTAGAGAAAACCATAGGCTTGGGTGTAAATAAAGCCACCCATGCTTGGGTGTTAATCTTCTTGGAGTAGCTGAGTGGTGTTGTTTTCTTGGAATCTTAACCTCGCAACCATGACCATATCCAGACCATCCATGGGACTGGAAGAATTGCTTGCGTGAATTCGGGTCATTTTTTGGTGTCAAGATGTTTGGTGCCTCTTCCAGTGCCGTGCATGACATGGATGGTTTGGGATCTCCAAGTGACATCTCCAATATCCCGTCACTTCAAAACACCCTTCCACCCCGAAGGTGAGGTGGAAGTGCAAGGAGAAGCTTCAACAATTTAGAATTGTTCAACCCCAGACACGACTGGTGGGACTGGACTATTTACCTACATTGCGGTGGTTGACCTGGGGTCAATATAGGTACCTGGAGTCTGAGTTCGTACCTTCGTAAATGGATACACCTATAGGCTCATGATAGTGCTTATGAGTGACTCATGAGTCATGAGACTACTTGGAAGTCGAGTCCGACCCGGGACCCGATCCCGCACCGTCTCCGGCCGACTCCGCGACTCCGGCGGAACACCGCAGTTCGCCTTCCAGCGATGCTGCAGCAAGTGGACAGAGGACCGGTGGCGGGCGGAAGCAACGGCGGAAGCAACGGCGCTTTTTCGGGCGGCAGCGCGGCAACTGGTGTGGGGTGCATACTCCACTGACTGAAACCGTACGTTATTTGTGGAACAAATAAGAACAGATAGAACAGAACACCTGCCTCAAACCACTTTTGGAAACTGCTAAATGCTGCTAAAGGGTTTGGACATGGATGTTGCTTGAATTTATAGTGGTGTTCTGCCAGTTCCTTTTGCTTCGTGCTTGGAGAACAACATGTTTTGGAGATGTCGTTCAACCTTGTTGGATGCTTGCTGTTTGGCGGGCGAACATACTTTGCTGTATGTGTGAGAGTATGTTGTAAATTGGATGCGTTGATGTGCTTCAACAACTACTACTCAATTCATCTCAATTCCACACATGAGCTTCTGGAACTTGATGGCTTGATGGATTTGAAAGAGTTGTTGATGTTCCCCAAGCCTCAGGACGGGGAAGATGCATATATATATATATTTATAGAGAGATATTGAATCATATTGAATCTATTATATATACACGTATAACTTACAGAGGAACTTATAAGGTATATGTTGTCCTGTACAGCTTCGATGCAGCAGGGTTTATCAAATTCGGATCCTACAGGTCTTCGGAAAGTCTGAGGTGTTTAGTACTGGGTCCTACCACTATGTACAATGTATAGTACTGGGTCCTGGCCCCAAGGCGTATCACCTAGCCAAAAGGCGTATCAATGTTGCGTGGCCTTAGCGACATGTTCTAGTTTGTTTTTATTCATGTTCATCGTGCGTGGCCATGGGGTTTTGATATCCCTGCCATATGTTTGTAGTCTTCTCATATCAATGTCAACCCTTTGTTTCCATGGGGATTCGCTATCCAGGTCGTTTGTTTGTAGTCTTGTCGTATTCATGTCACTAGTGTGTGGCCATGGGTGTCACTAGTGTTGTACCTGTGACACTGTATCACTTTTAGATCAGGGTCTTTTGTATATGTCAGAATCGTATCGGTCATAGACTTTTTTCTTCAGACATGTGAACGGGAGACGTCCATTCCCTTCCCTCAGAACACCTCTCACAATGACCGGCCTGTGAGGTGGACAATGCCCTTGTATTGGCCTCATTGATGCTAAGCATCCTGACGCTCATTGTCATTCGGCTGGAAAGCTGCTTTTGCATGAGCCGGCAAAGACGCTATGAAGGCAAAGGTTCATGATTGGCACACCTTAACATCCTGATTTTTTTGAGGTTGTTCTTGACAACTTCAATACGTCGCTGTCAGGGTCACCTCCCAAAATCACATGCCCTGTTATCATTTAAGTTGAAGCGGATGGCTTCAGAACCAAGAACATCATTGGCGAAAAAGAGCCCGCTAAGTATCTCTATATAAGTGATTTCTCTCAAACCAGCCTTCGCTAACTGGCCTGTAGTAGTTTGATTTGCAGCAGCAGTCGTAGATCCTCAGCCTGGAACCCCGCGCGGAGCGGGAACCCAGGGGATCCATTTGGACCAGCACCACTTAGCTTTATTTATCTTAATGATGGGCATCACATAAATAGCATTATGGTGATTTATGGTGCATGGTGTTCCTTTCGTTTGTTGTTGATGTTGCTGTTGGTTGTCGACATCTCCGGTCTTCTTTTCATTGCCACTTGCCACCTCTAATGAAACACATGTCAAAGGAAAGCCTAATGACAGCAGTTGTGAGGTTGGCACCCACGTAGACATGCAGCGGATAGATGAGTCTCTCTAGATATACATATGTTTTTTTTGTGCTATGCAGTCGCAAGTTTCACTGCAACTGCGGACCATATTCGGACTGTTTGACTTCATCTATCGGTTTGGATCCTTGATTGCTTGCACAAAATTGCAGCATGAGGTCCATGCTGAAAAGCTCAGAGATGTGTGTGTGTGTGTGTGTGTTTGATATTGGCATGGGCCCAAACCTTGAGCCCTGGTCCACCAGGTAGCTTGACCTCCCAGGTCTAGCCTGGCTTAGCCTGGCGATTTGTCGACGGACCAATTTGCCCAACTGCAAAACTGCACCGGTCTATGCGTGAAGGCAGCGTCCGGCTCAGGTTCGTATAGCACAGACCTCCGGTAAAGAGGTGTGGTTTTTTGATGTGATCTATGTAGCTCGGCTGATCTGGGTTGATGGGACGGACGGGCGGGGGCGGACAGCTGACCCAGCTGGGGGGGCAGAAGGCATTTAGAGCTTCCAAAGGCTCCATGACCATGGCTTCAACCACATCCTCAGAAGGTCGTTAGACGCCCCAAACCCATCCCATCGTAGACCTCTCAGAAGGTTGTTGGAGCCCTTCGGTGGCTGAACAGACTGGACTGAGACCGCTGTGTTTGAATCAACACGACAGTGTAAAACTGATGGTGGTGAAGAGGGTGGTTCGGCCATATTCCGCTCATGAAGCGATGCACTGATGTGCCGAAAGAGACATACAGGAATTGAACAACATAATTATCAATATATGTAGTTGTTTGGCTTAAGTACAAATTTTCAAGCAGGATCCATGTTTGCGTTCATTTGGTGGTCACATGAGGACCTGACGGCTCTACTTTGCTTGCCAACATGTTCCGCTTTTGCTGACCTAGAGATTGTTCAGTTCAGGGATTGACTTGGGTTCTTACCCGAACAATGTTCTGTTGTTGTGTCAAAATATATTAACACATATTTTAGAAAAGGTGATTGTGTGGGTTCCACTCGTTCAGCGAACTCTGGCACCACCTACTGGCACCACCACATGCTTCTAAACAGAAGGCTCCAAAAGGTGGCCACCTGTATTTGCGATGCTCTCCTTGAAGAGTGATCCATTCAATTCCGAGTCGAACAAAGAGTCTTGGTAAGTTCTAAAAACAAGAGAGAGAGAGAGAGGGAGACTTCGTCACCTGTCCGCTGGGTGACCATCCTTTCTTCTTTATAAACCCCACAGAACACCCGACACCGCTGCGGTGAACTCCGACACTGAAAAAAAGCGGCGCTGAGTTGATGACAGCACTGGTGGCAGTGGTTTGTGCCACCTGCAGGCGGGGTGGAACAAGCACCGTGTTCACCGAGTGCTTTGCACTCATTGGGGCTGGGTGTGGGCCAACATGGTGAAGTGATTGACCCAAGTAACCCAATGTTTGATATCACAGGAAGAGCCAGGTGGTCTTGACGTGTACACGATTTTTCAACACGTAGTAAAAATGGACACTTGTTTTGGAAGAAGCCTTTTCCTTGGGCTACATCTCAAGAGGTGGACACGTCAGGTCGTCTCCCCTGCTGAACAAGGACCAACGAGAAGAACACTTGCATGGGACCGGATCCACTGCTTCGAGCAGTGTCGGGCTGACGGCGGCATCCGTTTGTTGATCTAACAACTATAACACATCGTCATATCGCTTCGACTTCAACCCGCACGTACGAAGCCTCCAACTCGCCTCCAACAAACATGAGGGCATTAGTACTCTCACGCGGGGTTCCCTGAAGAGTACTGTTCTTTCAAAACGGGTTTGGTGGGTAGAGAGATGGCAGAGAGTATCTAGTTAAACTATGTTAACTACTACGCTCATGTGACTTAAAAACAAAAATAAGAACATAAACGTATATACCCGTCCAGTGGCTAGCTTGATCCATGAGGTCGTCCTAAAGGTACACACTCCATGAGAGAATCATTGAAGCTGAATGTAATCACGAAAGGTAGCTTGAGCTACCTGAGTTCTCCTTGCTTTAGCAAAAATGTATTACAATCAGGAGTTGGGATTGTGCATTGAGTTTGGTCCTGTAAGAGTTGATTCTGTTCGTCGGGGGGGGGGGCCCCCCCCGGATCAAATCTCCCCTGCGCCGGTTCACGCCGTCATGGACTTCTACCAGGGTTACTTGTGATTGCCTGCTACCTTTCGTTCACCCCCTCCTCTCTCAAGTATACCCATTCAATGAAGTACATTCATCACCTTCCAGAGGCCTTGTTTCACCACCAGAGGTGTTTGAGAAGGCACAAAAAGAGCTGCATAACGAGCCGCAACACCGAACAGATTCTTTCCACCGATGCACAACATTCGTGAGAAGCGGATGACCGGCGCCTTGTTGGGTCTATTGACTTGGCCCTTTCTCCACCGCCACAGGGGCGGAGCGCCTAACTCAGCCCCAGACTTGCGGCAGGCGCATGCACGTGGGCAGGGTGGGGTTGAGCCTTCAAGTGTATTTGATACACATCGACACATCCCCAGAAGAATTTCTGGCAATAGTCAGCATTTGAATAGAGGTCAACTGTGATCTTCTTTACCAAAACACAAAAAAATCCTCCCCTGAGAGGCCTTAGATCTCTCTTAAACTTTCCCACTGAAACACCCAACACTGGCACCTCCCTCCACAGAACTGACGAAGGTTTGTTATTGGGATCCAATGCTCCCACTCTGTTTTTGTTCTAAAAGCCCATGCTTCTCGCCGAACCAAACGACCCATGTGCGCACATCCTTCGGAAGATATCCGGGCACCTGCACAACGATGCCCAGAAGAAGACAGAAAACATACCTAGAACATCCTATAGAACCTGAGTGACCCCGGTTTTGGAGTCAAACCATATTTTTTTGTTTGTTTACCCTATCAAAATAGAGGTCATAGATGTTCGTCTAGGTATACAACATTCAAGAAACCACCTGCGAAAAGGGGGATCTTCTTCGTTTTGTTTCATGACTGGCACGACACCTCCGAGGTGCCGGCTTCTCCGGTCCTTTGGTTGTGCCTTTTGGCCGCCACCACCGCTCCGCCGCCGCTGGGCGAAGTGGGGACCGAGCGGGACCGGACTGCTGGTTTCGGACGACGTGCGGACAGTCGGTCACGAACCGGAAGAAACATGAACATGTTGTGACGTGATGTATGATGTTTTTGTTCAGACCGGGGAGTATGATGTTTTTGTTTTTTGTGATGTATGATGTTTTTTGTTTGTGTGTGATGCTTTGAGAGTTTCAGAGGGGCCTCCTATTTGGATGTCGTTGATGTGTGTTTATCTCCGTGGCAGGGGTCGGACCCGACCTCTTAGGAGGGGTTGGTTTGGACCCTCAAAACATCTCAAAGCCTGGGTGTTTGAGGTCCGAGCATAACCGGAAACCTGCACAACCGATGGGGGCCGACCCGTGTTTGAGGGCCCGGATTCTTCGGGTTTGGGCCCGTGTTTCTTTCCTGTCTTCGAGCACACACGTTCAGCTCCTTTGCTCAGCTCCGCGTGCAAAAAGATCCGCTGAGGTGCGTGGCGTCGTTGCCATATGCGTTGATGTTCTTGAAGCTCTTAGATTCCTTGCCACTGGTGCAGAAAGCTGGCACGAGTTGGGAGACGGGTGGACAACCAAGTGAGTTTTGGTTTTGGGCACTGAGAAAACCAACAAAAAACACCCAGTGTGCAGCCCCAACGAATATTTTAACATTATGTTGAAGTGGCACATTTTGGACACGATGGTATGTTCTGTGTACTTGAGAATGACTCTGTTTATTTCCTCTAAACCCTTGGGGACCTCAAAAGAGAACACGCGAGCGAAGTCATGTGCCCAGGCTGACGAATTCCTGGCAGAGACGCTTGGGCTTGGTGCTTTTGGGGTGACTGGGTGAGGGGATTCACCTCTTGCGTTTTGAGAGGATTGAATTTCTCGGGTCTCCAGTTGCTTCTTGTTCAGTTCCTTCTTGGCTTGGTTTGGTTGGGTGGTGGAAAGGCTGATGCCGACATCATGGAGAAAGGAACACCAATGAGCAGTTGACGTTGGACACATGGAGCCAGCGAACAACCGAGGATTTACCACTGTTTAGCTTTGGGCAAGGGTGTTTTCCACATGATGTATTCTTTTACTCAGCAACTAGCCAAGCTCCAATCAAAATATATGGAGATATATGACATGCACATGTTTACTTACCAGTGTGGTTCTTGTGTGGGGTTTTCAGTTGGGGAGAAAGATCCCTTCTTTGCCAAGGGACAGCTTCAGCAGCAGTCCCTGTCGATGAATGAACTCCCAGATTCTCAGGGAATACCCTGCGCAGCTGCAACCACCTGTAGCTAGTGGGTCGAAAGTAAATACTGACAGGCCCAGTACCTCTATCGCTTCCAGTGTTGGAGAGTTTGATATTGCTTATTTGTACTAGTATGTACTGAGCTGACTCATGGCCGTCGGCTACTGTCTCACACCAGGCTTTAGGTCATTGATGTGCAGACTTTTTCTTCCTGACCTGGTCTCAGGCTTGCTGCCGATCTCCTATCGCTGGTCTTTGGCCATTCTCACCAGCACTCACATCGTTACACTGCTGGGGACCCGGTGGCCGTGAGCCAGCTTTCACGATCGGAACCAGTTGGCCGTGTTCGAAGCGCAAAGTCAGGGAAATGGAGCAACACATTCCGGGCAACTGACCATGGTCAGAGAGGTTTTGTGTTGTACGCAAAGGGGTTTTGACACAGTAGCTGATTGCAACAGAGACTTGTGTATGGGAAGAGGATCGCCTGTACTTCTGAGGGGAGTTTGACATCTTAAAGTCACTGGACTGGACCTTTCCCCGGGCATAAGCCCAGGCCAAAAAAATAGACATTGCCCACTGTGGAGAAGCAAATTGCACCCCCAAAATCTGGAATTGGGTGTCCTTTCCCACCATTTGCTGGAGTTTTTTTCTGTGCACTTCTGTCTATGCCTGGAACCGGTGCGGTATCTTTGGTCGAAGGGGGGTTGGTCTGGGTCCCGATTCCGACTGGCCGAGCCGCGGTGACGGGCGCCACCGCGGTTCGGCCTGGGGCTCTTGGGGTCGGGACCTGCCCAGATGGGATTGGAATAGAGTTCCTCACATGGACAGTGACCATTCCCCCTTGACAATTCCCTTATGAAATGGGAGACCTCAAGGCCTCTATATATTTGTTTTTAGTGGTGTTCCATTATCCATGTCATTGTTGAATGCGATCCAGTGATTGATTCGTGATTGATTAATTTCTTCATGCATCTTTTGATTTCCTTGGGCCCCCGGGAAGTTGGTCGGGGTGGCTAAAGTGCTAGATACCCCGTCATGGGAGCCCTGGTACATGATCGTACTTCCTTTTGAGCTGGCCACCTAACCTTTGTGCCCAGGCTGGTGCTGAACTTCATGAGCTGGAGTCAGATCGCGATCCCCAGTGGAATGCTAGGAGCTTCTGGGTATTCGGAGCTGCAACGAGCAATGTCGGCAGATGTTCCGAAGAAATGGTACCAATGACGGAGCTACTAGCTAGAAGACAGAAATCAGTACTAACATGTAGTAATCCCTTTAAATTTATGTCATAGTCTTGTTAATGGATTGCAGTGAATATATGAATGTTAGAATGTTGAATAGATCTCATCGCAAGAACCATTTTTGCTCTGGACCAGAAGTCTTGACCAATGGCAAAAAGAATCCTCACACTGCGAAATGGGCGAGTCCCGACAATCAGAGTTGCCCTCTTCGACAGCTCGCCAACTGAGCTGAGTTGGTTGTTCCGATCAGATGCGGCACTGAGGAACGAAGATGTCAGTGAGCTTCGAATTGAAGGCCTCTCAACATCCTTTAGTTTAAATCATCATTTAAATCAAACACTAATGTAATTGTGTGATATTGTGTGCCTCTCAAAACTAACTGAAATCAACCGGAAGTTAACTTAAACTCATCATTGAAAATACACAAACATCATAAGATTAGACCAACTGACTGGAATTCACTGAGAATGATGTCTTTGGGTCGGTTAGGGCGTGGCAGTTCAGTCGTTGGGGCGTGCCAAGTCGCTCCAGGAGTCTTTGGGGAGCTGGGGCGGACCATCGTCCTCTTCAAAGACTCGATCACCACCTGTGCCTGGACGACTGCCTCGTCTCCCCCAACAGGGCCCGAGCTGGCAGGGGGCTACCGAGGTGCCCGATCTCCCCCCCAACAGTGTTTGGGACCGAAGGTGCCACTAGTGGATGTGCTGTTTTTCGGGGTCGGGTTGGAACATCTTGTAACCCTTGAACCTAGCAGGAAGTGAGGCATGTGTGGTCGAAATTGAAAGTGTTCCCTGATCAACCTGAAAAACCCTGTCTCAGACTATCCTGCGGACTGCCATGGAAAAGATCCAAGAGTTCCACACCAAGCATTCACTCATTTGCAAGCCCAAAGACCTACCCAAAGCCTTTGCGCTTCGCCTGTCAGCGGCATGGTGAACAGCGTCCTCCACGGCTGAGGCATTCATTCCTCCTCAATGAATTGCTTAAGTCGTGAAGAGAGTCTTTGGCCGGGCCTGCACTTGGCCTCCGTGCTCTGGCGATGGACCGGGTCCTTTCGGGGAGGGAGAAGGAATGGCGCAGAGACCCACCGGGAAGCGGGTCAGGCGCGTGGGTTCGTAAGCGAGAGGCGCAAGACGTGACTGGTCGTGATAGGACAAATGTGCAGGTGATTTATTCGGATGCCTCTGCTTGAAGAATATGCAGTGGGGTGGTCCAAGGAGACTTGTTCTGGATTCCACCGACAGCCTGCAGTTGATCCATGTCGATCGAAATGATTTGCAGCACTAAAGAGCAAAGCTTTGGAGCGCCGGATTCGGGTTTCTATTTCGGGCTGTCTCGATGGGCTCTATGGGGCGGTCCGAGGTGATGCTTCTTCACTTCTTACTGACCAATGCAGGGGAAGGCGATCCGGGAGGAACAGCTGCTGCGAGAGGAGTCGCACCACCGCACCGTGTTGTTTTCAGACGTCGCACGTGTTATAGCTAGACGACCCATATGGCCCGGGTCTCATGGTCCCACCTGAAAGAGAGGAAACCTCATTGGCCCCAATTTCATCCAGTTTCAGCTTATGTTTGATATGGACTGGATTGCTGTGGACCGTGATTGGTTTTTCCGCTGGTCACAGAAGAAGGATCTTGATATGCCGGGCAAGCCACGATCATCGTTCAGCGGCGAATGGCTTCGGAGCTCTGGGTCGAACGACATGATTTCCGTGGAAGTGACCTGTAGATTCATTGAATTCTATGGAATTCTTATAGGGGCCTACGGCTAGGTGCAGAATTCCCAAAGAATTACGGTGCAGGACACAAACTGAAGAATAGACATAGATCAACAATCATCAATCCAATAAGATGAGTTGATGCTCTACAGTGACATAGGCTCATCTCGTCTCTTCGTCTCCGGACACTCAGTCCATGGGACTGGAGGAACGTCATTTACATTGACCCCGACTGAACATCGACTGAACGTATATTGGCCTAAGAAACTGTCCTGGATCCTCTGAACCATATGGATCCTAGTGAACCAATAGGAAACTCCTAGGAACTAACCCCTAGGAAGTTTGAACCAAGTGAACAAAGGACATGCTCCTTCGCCTTCAGCCTTCGCAGGTCGCTCCTCAGAGCCCACGATGGCCAAGTCCACCTCGGTGGGGGGGGACCAGCGACGCGCCCGAGTGGACCGTGCGGTGCCGGTCCCGGGGTGGGTGAAGTCTATTTCGGAAACCGGGGTTGGAAGGGTTGGAAGAATTTGGGATCCGTTCTGTTGGTGCCTTCTTTTTGGGATAGTCCAAAGACGAACACAGCTTCTTTGGCTAAAGCCATAAATTGGGTTTGGAAAGGGAGAAAGTAAAGTTGAGAGCACGAGTAGGGGATAGATAGAGCCTGGACAGCCGATGCTCGTGATGTTTCGGACATCTCTTTGGAGCTATTTAAGAAGTCCACTCTCTTTTCGGGGCGGATGCGAAGATATACAAACTGATATGGGGTCTATTTATTGGCTGATATGACCCCCCACAAGCATATTTAATTCACATTTATATTATCGTACATGATCATTAGGGTCATGAGTAATTAGGGTGGCTGAAAAGGGATGAATGTAGGTAACTAGTCCAGTCCCATGGATGGTCTGGGATAAAACCTGCCAATCATGTTGAACATGGCACTTCAGTTTGGAGTCTGTCATTTCCTCAAGAAATTAAGGGATCCAACTCTTTGGGATGTTGAATATGGAACTAAGGACAGGCGCTAGATCAAGTAGCGGTGTTGTGAAGGAGATTGGGCTCACCCTGATGTTACTTTCCAAATGCATGAAATTGAGTGCATTATTGATCATTTTTGTTGGCTCCCTTGTGGATATGAGGGTGTGTGAAAGCAACTTACGGATGCCGCATGCCCCTATATAGTTATTGGTGAAGGACGTAGGGGCACAAGCTCCAAACGAATGTTACTCTTCGCGCATCCAAGAAGCACATAGAAGCAGCCTGGCTCATGATAATCCGTGGTCGCATCCTCTGTACGTAGAGATCCTTGGGATGTACGTATGTGAGACCAAGGATGGTCAATATACCATTCTCAACCGTTTTTGTCGTGGATGGACCAATGGACTGCATAAGACTCACAAAAAAATATGGTTTCTTGTCTCATAGTCCTGTCCACTAAGGAGCAATTTCCATACATCTTGATGATGACATTGATGATTCCAGGAATCCCGAGCAAAATCACGCGTGGCGTGAAGGAGCATCCGAATATCCAAGGGCAGTCTTTGATCAATCTTGAATATCCGTGACTTGTCATGAGACAGGATGGGAATCGATGGGATAGCACCATGCTGGGCCTTTTGCTAGTGGCTTTGATCAATAGACGGGATACACCCCCAGTGAACCACCAATGGGTATATTGCTAGTTTGGGATCGAGCCCTCTATTTTCCCTCAACGGACATCATTGGATATATAACACCTCCTCCATCTCTGGGATGGCGCCGCGTGCGGCGCAGGCCTCCAGCTCAACGGTGATGCAATCTTCGGACATCTTGACGAGGACCGTCTTCGGTCATGGCAAGCTAGGAGTTCCGGTTTGATGAGGTGTTTTGATAGTTTCCGAACCCCCCCCCCAACTGTGCTGTGTTGAACAGATTCTACTGGGCACCTAAGCACTGTATCCACTATGTTGCCACTTGAGCCTCGGTCCGCATCGGTGCCACTAAAACCTGGCACATCCCGGCACCACGGCGGAGGTTACAGTACCACTGCAGAATCAACGGGGCGAAGCTGCAATTGTTCATGTCGACCGATCTTTCAAGACCTCAACATGATGAGGAAGCCCATGCAGCATTGACCCAACAGTAGTAGTTGTTTTGTGTGAATCGCCTGATCCCTCGGTTTTCCATCAGGATCTTGCGCACCTTGGGGGTGCTCGTCCTCTTGTCCTACTGTTTGGCCTTTCCGTCACTGCTCACCTTGCCCTTGCTCCTCTTGTGCGCGATCCGCCCAACGGCGGGCCTTTCTGAGATGTCAGGGGTGAGCAGGGAACCGGGTGATGCCGGAGTTGGTCATGTGATTCATGGGTCATGCCGAGCAAAGGTGACTCGTAAACCACCAACGAGCAACCTTCATCAACCTTCTACTTTGATAATGATACTCATCCTCCATTCATGTTCCTCCATTTAATGTTATATGTATAGTACAAATATTATATATATTATATATACATATATATATATATATGTTTTCACTTAGACAGATTCCATCATTCAGCAGAAAAGCTTTGCCTGCCATGGAGAGACTCCGCACTCCTTGGGGATGGTGGATCGGTGGACCGGTAGAACCAATGCAGACGAATATGCCCCCCCAAAACCCTTCAGGTTTGCAACATATTACAACATGGAACATCTTTGCTCTCACGCTCAATAACATGGAAGTGGAAAACCCATCAAAATCCTTATTTTTGAAAAGGAATGTCGTCTTCCCCAAGGCCATGTTCTACTTCCAGTGAGCTGGAGTGTTCTTTCATTGTCCATCGGCCCGTCCAAGATTTGAAGAATTCAGCCCGCAGACTAACATAGCATGGACCCTGAGAACTGACCCATGGTAGAAGACCCTTTTATCTTTTCCTGTATAGGCTAGTGGTTTGGGGGGTCCAGGTCAAATATGCACAGGAGTACCGCATGGCCTTCACTTCAACTCGACGGTCACGCCCTTTGCAGGCCCTTTCGCCGTGTGGCTCTTCTCCGCCAGGTACGTGTGGAAGAGCTTCAGCTCCGCGCGCCTCGCCGAGGCGGAGGCAGGGGAGAACGGCGAGGAGGGTCGGGCTGCTGATTGACGGTACCTTGTTCAGTGGTGTGGTGTGAGCCAAGAGTCATGATTTCCACGCGATGCCGATGGGAGTGAACATTATGATCTCCGTGTTACTGGGCCATTGAAGGTTACAGCAGAACAACAATGGACACAAGAAGCTACTATAGTATAGCTAGAGGTGCTCTGTTGGAGTCTGTCGATGACCGCGATCATGTCGCCCCGGGTTGAGCCTCTCCTGGGCCCAATGAGCAGGGCAGGAACTTCGCTTTTAGATGGACCACATGCATGCGTGTGTGTATATAGTGTGTATTGGACTAGGAAGACTCACCCCCTTGAAGAAGACTAGACCAAAAGCGATTGGTGAGGGGATGCTGTGAGCACCCCTTTTGAAATACAGACCCACATGATGTGAGGACTGTCCCAGTCACCGCCAGATTGTCCTGATGTTTGATTCTGCGCCCAAACAACCACAAACTGAAAGATGTTTTGATTGTGGACATGGACAGCTCAGGAGTCATTGAAGCGTCCGAGCCATAGGAATCATCCGGTTCAGGACACTTGTGTCACCAGGAAAGCAAACCAACAAACCAACAAAAACGTCCCGCCAGTGCAAGGCTTCTCGCACGGGAAGGAGCACAACGTCTTCAGGCTGCTGCACATCGTCTTCAGGCTGCTGTGCAACGACTGCAGGCTGCTGTTCAAGATGTACCTTGTGCAGCAGTCGTGTACATTTGATAATTGCCCCGCAGAGCGTTTGGCGACAACAACTCCACTTGTGGCAAATGGGGCTAGGCTAGGTCCGTTTCTTTGAAATCAGAGTGTTCAGAGGTTTGTGCCACACAATTTGAAACGGCAACCGGCGACTCAGACAGATCTGGGAGAATTGTTGTTCAGTTGTCTTGGTGGCTCTGTAAGCACTTCAAGGGAGCAACTATGAGCAAATGTCCGATTGGTACACCGTTATGTACCTTGTTTTGTTTGTGTTGTTGCTGTTGTTTCCGTGGAGTAGTCTTGATGATATGACTAGGATGCTCACGTTGCATACAGAATAACCCTTATGAGTTCTAGTCATATAGTTATAGTTGTACCTGTGAATCATTGCCTTCATCATTGATGTGCCAGAGATGACCGATCTTGGCAGGCCATAAATGTTACAGTGGATTGAGAGTAGATGGCACTGGCACCCCAAGATGTCTTTTATATAAGGGTTCATATAAACCACCGACCTTCGGGATTGTGCCATCTACTCTCAACCCACTATAGGAAGGTGATCCATGGGTCATACCAAAGAATGACCTGTAAAGCATGTAGCCCTTGTTGTTTTTTAGATTTGTTTCCTCCGCTCTGTTTTTTGTTTTAGCAACTCGTTAGTCGGCATGATATTTATACTCAGAAGGAAAGACCCAAGCTCGCTTGGATATGCTTGGTGATCCAGTGATGTGTTTTTCTTGGAGAAAAGGATGAGTTAAATGACATCACAACTTGCTAGTGCAAGCTGGATAACTTATTTTACAAGAAGTTTGACATCGTTCAATCCATCTCTTCTGCAGTATTTGTTTGAAGCAATTCTGTTGCACCACTGTTCAGGTTTAACGTCTCACAACACCGATGACCACTTGATGATATTCTGCGGGAACAAAACAACTTTGGTATGCGATGGTGTTGCTGCCTACTGGTCCGTCAGGTAGATGCTGTTCAAGGAGATACCGCGAGGAGAAGACGATCCTGGCTCAGCTTGTGACAAAGCTGCAACAACCTGTCCTGGAAACTGGGATAGTATGAAGGAAGCCAGACCATTACAGAATGTAGAAGATATATTATATAGAATATGTATATATAAAAGATGTATACATGCATATACTAGATGTATTAGGATTTATCCCATGAAACCCGAATGAAAGGTGCTCGTCTTCCAGTCCCGGATGCGTCTCGTTCACCCTCCGCCAGGACGACGTGAAGGGCTCCGAGTCGTCGCTCTACGAGAGCAGCGGCTGCGGCGTGGCCCACGGCTGGGCACGTGCCTCGGTCTCTTTCGGTCGAGAAGAGGAAAGCCGAGCAACCGAGAAGAAGTGAAATAGACCAATTTGGGGTTGGGGGTCTCCCTCTTGAAATACACATTCACATATATATATATATATGTTTGTGGTTTTGCTCATTCATGCTTGTTGGGAATCTAGGATGGATGTTTGCAGGAGTCATTTCTATCATGGGGGACCCGGGGACGTCAAAATCAAGCCACTGACCAATTGCTTGCATTGGCTAGATGCACTACATTGGGAGCATATCGTTTGATTCCCTCCTTTTTTTCATAGTCCTTAAGAATCTGTGGAGAGTGGACGACCATTATATAGTTGATATTGGTTGTAAGGAGAACTCACGACTGTGCAGATGGTGTTGCGCAGAATCAGGCTATATTGCCCTGGTCTTTGTGTTCTTCTATGTCTACAACGTCCTGGAGGAACTCCTAGATCATCTTTGGCCAGAGGCCCGATGTGTGTTTCTTTTTCAGATATCGCCCAGGCAGCTCGACTGAACGCAGTGCGTTGGTTAAGTTGCGCAGTGCGTTGGTTTTTGTGGATTGAGGCATGTTTGCATCGGCATGAAGAAGGACCAACCAATTGTTGGACCCGCTTTAGAGTGCCAACCAACCATCCAACACGTGACTCTATCTAAATCAAGTCCAAACAGGGGTGAGACCGGGTCTCGGTACAAGCTTGTCCACCTATCCATTTGCGGGAGGAAGGACTGTTGACAGTCCGTTGTATCCTCAGACTTGGTGTCCGCATTGCCTGCCTTTCCGGGTCTTTTGGCTCAAGGGTCATGAGATGCTGAGGCGTCCGGACCATCCTCCGATTGTTTTCTGCGAGTCTTCAATTCCAAACTCGAAGAAGACGGCCATCACTGGGGGGTGACTCGTTGACAGCCATGGGCGAATGATCTCTCAGATCCGGAAGCTTAAAGTCAGAAGCGTTCCATGCACCGTGCCCTATCAGCGGCACTGTACAATGGCGACAGACCGAACAGAGAGTTTCTTGCTTCAAGGATCAACAGATGGTGGGTGTGTTTTTGATGGTCACTGAGAAATACCCTCGGGCCCAGGCAGTGTTCATGCAATGCTTGTCAATGTTTGTTGCTAAGTAATGGTCTTCGGTGTTTGGATATTTCAACACTAGATAGTAAGAACTTAATTGTAAGAGGAAGGTAGCAATCCTAGGTTTGTAGCCTATACGGTTCAATCATCAACAGTCACATTTGCTTGCCCTGTTTGAATCATTCAGGCTGCTCAGACACCCCCCAATCCAAGCTTGCAGAAAGAATACATAGATTTATATAGATTAGATGAGAAGGAGTATGAGAAGGATAGGGTGTTCCGCACACCCCATGGCTTGGCTGAATGTGCAAGGAACGTGTGTACTTTATCCTGCAATCTCAACCAAAGACAGTGTTTGCTCTCATGTTCCAAGCTGCTAACATGTTCCAAGCAGCACTCTCTGAGATACTGGTAGCAGCAAAAGCAGCTATCCTTTAGGCTTGTGTGACCCGGCTCAGCTTCACATCCAACTCATCGCTTCAGGTGCCAAGTCCAACTCTTGGTGCTTGGCCCAGGAGCTTTTTGCTGCGCTGCCCACCTTCCGCCTGAAAGTTGGCGATCCTTGGCAGCTGTTTTTGGGCCTCAGTGACCTCCAATCTTGGCACCAAGTTGGGATGGCTTGTGTGGGAACCAACACGGACCACCAACCCCCAGCATTCCCCCGTCCAGGTGGATTTCCTCATAGTAGGGACCTTGTCAACTGGTTTTGATCAGTTCAATAGTCAAATAGTTATTGACTGCCAATGGCTGCCCACCCAATCCTTTTGATGACCAAAGATTGGAACATATTATAGACACCCTTTCAACCAGATGCATGTGGGGCTAGCCCAAGCCGCCCTGTTTGGGACCCAGCGGGACTGTATGCCATTTTTTCTGGCACAAGGTGGGGTCAAGCAACGAGCACTTAGTGACGTAGTGAAAGGTCTTGACTGGGCACTTAGGTGATACACTACAATGCCCTCTTGGCTGCGTACGGGAAATCTGCTCACTGGCGGCAAGCGTTAAGTCATTTTGAGGAGCTCCACATGAAGACCCAACTGCAGCCAGATGTGATCACCTACAATACCACCATTAGTGCAGTCAAGCAGCATTGGCAGGCAGGAAGTTGTCGGTAGTGTATGGTGTCGGCCTTGAAATACTTGGGTAATATATCTCAGACGGTGAAGGATTGTGCTGTCCAAGTACGCACTGCTTCCAGAATCTTAGCCATCCACCTCCTCCTCGGATGTGAAATATTGTTGTTTCACGCTGTCTCCTCACACGGGGTGCATGTGCAAGACGCAGAGGCTTTTTCTTGTGCTGTCATCCTCGGAGAACCCTTTCATATCTACTGTTTCAGAGTTTTCACAGAAGAGAACTGATCACTGGGGTCTTTCGGAATTCAAGCCCGACGTCAGGCAGCATTGTGCTTGTTTCAGGGCATGCGAAGATCAAAGATTGAGCCTGATGTCGTCAGCTATAGCGCAGTGATGAGTTCTTGCGAGAAGGGCGGGCAATGGCAGCTTTCACTCAACTTGTTTCTGGCCATGGCCAAGTCATTGATTCGGCCAAATCTAATTTCTTACAGTGTGCTCCTGAGCTCTTTTGAGAAGGGCGGGCAATGGCAGTTAGCAGTGAGTTTCTTTGCTCTCATGGTCAGCTCCCTCATCCAGCCGAACAACATCAGTTACAATGCGATCATCAGTTCCTGTGAGAAGGGTCGGCAATGGCAAGCGGCATTGAGCATCTTCCATGCGATGCAACTTGCCAGCCACCAACCCGACGTGATAAGCTACAGTGCAGTACTAAGCTCTTTTGAGAAAGGCCGACAATGGCAGCCTGCTTTGATCATGCTCGAGAACATGATTGAAGTGAGAGTCACGCCGCATGTGGCCTGGTCAGAGTGTGGATTCCGGTACTGTACTGCAAGTAAGTACAGTGTATAAACACTTGAACAACTTCAATATTGTCCTTGCAATATTTGTTCAGCTCAAAAGCTACCGCCCACATCCGCCCACCATTTCCAACTTGGAGCAACTCATTCTCAAACTTAATCCATCCGATGAGAGCGTTTTGTATGGTTTTATTATGGTTTCATTATGTTTTATTCATCACACCTGATCCATCCAAATCAGCCGCTTGCACCGTATCGCCCGTATCGCCCACCTAGCGGGTTGCAGCTCCCACCGCCAATCGCCATGAGGTGATCAGCTACAACGCCGTGATGAGTGCCTGTGAGAACGGCCGTCAGTGGCAGCATGCCTGGAGGACCTTCGAGGCCATCGTAGATGCAGAGCTGGAGCCCAGCGTCATTAGCGCCTTGCAGCGTCATGCGGTGAGACTTCGTCCCGACTTCGTCCCCATTCGGTTCGTTTCGCGGAAGAAGATCTACAGGACACTTAACATGGGTTTTGTACTTACAAAACCAGAGGATACCATGGGTGTCCAAAAACTGTTGGGTGTCCAAAAGTCCGAGCTTTGGGCTCTTCACACTGAATCACTTACTTCGGGCTGGGCTTCGCAGGTGTGCCAGGGGGGGGAGATGAAGCCTCGTCACTCGCACCGTCCAGGTGTTTGAAGCCGAAGCCGAAGCGGCGGGGCAAGGATGAATTTCTGGGAGTTGTTTTGGAGAAATTGATTCCCAGACACTCCATGGGACTGGCTGTATTTCACTTGCATTGGGGGTGGTTGGAAACTAGCAGGGGTCAATGTATGTCAAGAAGCATCCAGTCCCGTGGAGTGTTTGGGATTGTCTCATTGCGTTGAGTTTGTGGTCACATTGCTATAGTTCTTGTTAGTACTTGTTGTTTACATGGGACCCCTTTTCAACCACCCCAATGTAGGTATAACATATGCTATATATGGAGTGTTTGGGAATGTTTCTTTTCATTTTTTACTTGATCTACTATGCTGTACTATATACTGCTTTGTTTTTTAGGATGAGCACGGGCCCAGAAAGATGGCAGCGTTGCGGAACACATTGAACACATCCAGGTTCTCGCGCACACAACACTGTCTTCATGACTTGGTTCTTTTTCATGGCCTGGACCGCAGGGAGGTGCTCGATTTCAATGACCCCAGTATGTTGGCGGAGTTCATGATTATTGTTCGATATGGTGAGATTTCGGGGTCTAAACATCTCGACGACGAGGACCCAGGTTTCGTGGTTTCGTGTGTTTGAAGAAGGATGGATTTGAGTACAGCTCAGTATGGCTCCATCCTCTTCCTCTTGAGAGACGGGAAATCGCTGTGACGACAGCACTTCACATGTGCTCACACAAAACAAATGTGGCTATGGACATGTTAATGTCGTCTAAGGCTACAATGCCGTGATGAGTGCTTGTGAGAAGGCTGGTCAATGGCAAGTGGCACTTTACCTCTTCAATGAGATGCCCCAAATGAAGCTACTGCCAGATCCTATCAGTCGGCAGACAGCGATCAGTTCCTGCGAGAGAGGTGCCCAATGGCAACTCGCACTTAGCTTTTTTATTTGAACAAAAGTGGCGCTGGCGGATCGGGTACTGAGTTTTGAGGTCATTTTCCTGGGATCTACCAATCCAAAAGGTCGGTAATTGATGCAGCTCCACCGTGGTGTGACTGTGGAATTGAGGCAACCGGTGGTTTTGTTCGACCACAACCGGGGTTGGAGACTGGAGGCTCGTAATTCATTGGGGTCTGATATGGTCGGATGAAATCACCATATTGGACCATCACACTTGTTACCTTTGACTGATGTAGGCTGTTCATTCACTGGGGTTTCTTTCAACAGTGAAGACGAATTACTCAGATCAGCGGTCGGGTCAAAACCTTTGTAGTCGGGTCGCGAGCTTTCTCAAGTAAGCAGATGTTTGACAGCACATGTTGCGTAAGTAAAGTCGGACATCGTGTACTTGTAAGCTGCCGCTGTGGTGTGGCTGACGTCTCCGTTTGCACAAGGAATTGCAAACTCGCGTGAACCAACACCTGAGGCACATAAGCATTGCGTAAGTGTCTCCGTAAGCAAATCCTTACGACATAGTCTAATTAAATGTCAAACGTTTTGACTCAGATTTGTTGAAGCTTGCCACCCATTTCTGGTCGTACGTTTGAGGGTCAGGTCCATGGAGGAAGCAATCCTTCCTGGGGCCTGATCTCCTTTCCAGAGTGGAAAGTTGATCCAACCATCTTTAACCTCAGGACTGTCCATGTTTCCGTATCTCAACCTAAGAGTTCATAGATCCATACCGGTTTGTTCCATACCTCGTCATTGTTACAAATCACGCGACTCGGATCATCCAACTCCAGCCGAGCCCAAGCGAGCAAACACACCGCGCAGCGATCTCCCGGTCGGTCCCACCGTGTGGTTCGCAGGCGGCTGAGACCTTGACCTCGTTGCGTTTGCGGGTGCTCACGGGGATTACAGGTATCGACCTGGCATCTTGGAGATGAGCAAATCGCAATGGAGCGGAATGATTCGACGGGCCTTGAAACGCGTGAAACCCAATGAAAACGGGATTTCAAAGTAAATTGCATGCATGGTCCTCCCATTTGTTTTTTGGAGTGGTCTGATTTTGAGTGATTCGGAGTGATGTGGTCTTGGAAGGAACATGAAGGAACACGTTGGATAGAAGCCAGGGAGTTGAAGAGTGCGATTTGCTGGATGTGTTTTGGTGAACCCATCCCATGTGTATCCCGCACCTTCTCGGCGTTGGGATCACCAATCTTCGAGGTCCGTGCGCTGGGCTTGACGGTCTATCGCCTCTATGAGCCTCACGCGGCCTTCGCCGCGTTCACGCCGCAGGCAGCGCGGCGTTTCTGCGGGTTGGTGGAAAGGGTGGCGAAGGCAGCGGGTGGCGCTGGGATGAAAGGCGATGAGCTTGCAAGTCCTGAGAAGAGAGAAGAGATTCAAAAGCTGAAACATATTCAGGGCCATGGGATATTCAGAATGATATTGGTATTCAAAAAGATCAAAGAGGCCCATCAAGCTGCTTGCGAAGTGTTGATCTTTGGTGTTGATTGACGGGTGTGGTGATGCTGGGCGACAGACCACGCCCAAGTCATCATCCAGCATCAGCTGCGAAGCAGGTCTTTGGGCACACATTCGATGCACCATTTATTTAGGTTCTTGCTCACTAAGTCGGTATGAAGTGCTTTGGAATCCGGTCGGGCTTTGGAATCCGCTGGCGAAATCGGATTTGTGGAATCTGCGGAACAAAAGGAGCTCCAAAAGGGCGTGAGATTGAAACCTGACCTTGTCGAAGTTGCAGGCGTTGATGCTTTTGGCCCTGGCCGGCATCCAGGCGTTGGGTGGAGATGGCTTTTTGATGTGCGTCGACCAATGTTTCGGGATCCAAGAAACCAACTTTTAACAATTAGAGGCCCTGCAACTTCCGATTCTGCCAGGAGTTTTTGAATGTTTCTTGGTGGCTTCTTTGATTTATGTGGAGAAACCTGGGTCAGCTTGCCTCACTGGTCAATACCGCTGATCTTGTGAACCGACACAGGTGCGACCAGGACTCACATATCTTGTTGGTTGATGGCCCAACATACCAAAACACACATCTATTGTGAAGATGTCCGAACTTAAATAGTTACATCCCACCACCTTTTTAGGGGAGTTGGTCTCCCCACTAAACAAGAACAGGTATATATAGAAAAAGGTTTGACCTTTTGTTGCAGGGAACCTGAAGGAGTCAGTTAAACAGGGTACCCCTCATTTGACGAATTGGGATTTCGACAATTAGGATTTTTCATGGACTCCAGGGCTGGGGTAAATTTACGTTTGCTACAAACGCTACAGCGTTTTTCAACTTTTTTGCTCCACCTGTCAGGTGAGGGTTGTTAGATTTAGAAGAGGATTGCTCGAGTCGTAGAGTCTTCTGTCCCTTCACGCCTGGCGCAAGCGGATACTGCGCATGGTGCAGCGCCACTCAGGCGCTCTTGGAAGGTGGATTTAGCGCGGAGATGTCTCCATGGCCTCTTGGCGCATCGCCGTCTCCGCTGCCGGTGCTCCACCAGTGCTGTATCGGGCCGTTTTTTGGGTTCCCCACTGACTGGTCGATTGGATTCGACCCTGTTTTCATTGCGCAGATGTGCGAGCCACGGAAACAAACAATGATTGTATCGATGTATATCAACTAGGCTCGGTGGACAATGATCACTGTGATTGTTTAGAGAAAGGCCTGCAAGTACCTATACATCATCATCCACTGGGCCCTGGTATTGGATAGACCATGATAGACCCAAATATTAACAATCTATATCAATCTGATCTTGGCCAGCAACCACAGGAGATTTCAGGAGTTTCTTGTGCAGGCCAAGACAGGATGATACAGTGACACAGGGTGATGTTTGTTCAAAAATTGTGCTGCAGATCTTAAGACCTATTGTCAAGTCAGTGAATTTCGACACTGCTGCTAGGTCCCAAATTGTCGAATCTCCTGAGTTTGGAGGACAATAATAACAATTTGGAAACCATGTGACATGTGAGTTTGGTGACTTCTTGAAACAAGTGTGCTTAATGATGGCTTCCTTGCTTCTTTTGTGTTGTTGACCGTGGGACGTCATTTTCCCGAACCCTCAAAGACCGTACAGGGCATTCTCGAAATAGACGTTCTTCTCGCAGCCACCATGCCAGCACCACTCCGTTGGGACCATTCGACGGGAACCGGTTCGTCTGTCAATGTCGCAAGCGATGCCAAGGTTGTCCTCGATTGACAAGAACGGTCGCAATCTTTGGGCTTCTCGGCGACAGCATTTCCTTTGCGTCCGTTCAGACTGTCTTACGATGTCGGAGCTGGTCAGATTGAGCAGGTTTCTTCAAGGTGGATCTTTCTGGCCGCTTTTGGGCGCGTTTTTGGTGGCGATATTCACGTGTTGGACTGCAGGGTAGCTGTAACATGCTGTAACTATACTGTAACTGGCAAGTTGTTGGGCTAGGGCCTTGGACCGCATAGCTTTCCCATGCCCCGCCATGGCCATTCCAGTTGGACATGTATGAATTCATAGTGCCTGCTCCACCATTCTGTGGATGAACCGGACTTTGCACCATTTCTACGATTTCCTGCTTCTGTCCGTTTCCTGCAGTGTTCATCTTGACCGGTCACGGTCACGTCCACGCCGTTTCTCCAGTCGGTCCTGACGACCGGTTCCAGGTGTACATCAGCCGCCAGACCCCAGCAGAGCTGCCCATGTTGGTGGTGCCTCAGCCGGTTTCAGCGGTTTGGACCTTACCCGGTTGGGATGGGGGGGGATCTGGGACACCCCTTCCTCCTATGTTCCCCCAAAACGGAGGGATTCAGTAGACGGAAGCGAACCAAGCATGCCACAAGTTGGCGGTCGCCAGTCTCTCTACCCATTACCAGTCTTTTCAGAAAAAGACCGGAAATCAGACCGGTTGTTGTTCTATATAGAGGTCCCAAATTTTCAAGTATAGATAAAGACTGTCTCCATGGTTCTTACAAATTACAGCAAGTACTGTAGATATATGTGGAATCTGTCGAATACTCAAACCCACAGGCGTCCACCATCTGATCCGCAAAAGAACAATGCTTCTGAAACATCAAAGCGCCAAATTTTTAAACGCTTTCAGATTCCTTTGTTGTGTTCCTTCACCACCTTCTGGGCCAGACTGGTTTTTGTATGTTTTATGTCACCTTCTGTTCCTTCACCTTCAAACGCCTCTCCTCACATCCGCCTTTGCAGGCTTTGGTTGGCATTCTGATGACAACCAGTGCAGCCTTTGGAGAGACGCCGGTGCTGCTGGTGGCCTACGCACTGGTCTGGGCCAAGGTACGTCAGAGCCAGGTATAGCTGGGCGCTTTTTGTGACACCTGCACCCAAGATAGAGCTCAGGCCTTTTCCTCTCAAGATTGGGCTCAGAGGGTGCTATGCTGTAGGCAGACATAGGTGTATGGAGGTGTATCAACACTTCCGGGTTTACAATGCTGTTATTTCTCGATTTGAGGTCAAGCTGTTAGCTTTCAACTGTGGTAGTGTTTTCTGAAAACATTTGGCAGGGGGCCCTTCAGATTACGAGCCGAAAGATTGTCTCCTTTATAGTCTAGTCATAGTGCTGGAGGGAGAAGTTGTTCAACCTCCTTTTCATTGACGAAACGAGAAACAGCAGGCACAAGTTGGGGCCCAAAGCGGTTTTCCCCTGATCTCGAAGTTTGCTCAGGTGGTGTGTGGCAAGTTGGAGGCTCGACATTTTGCTGGGCTTCAGAAAGGGATTAGACATACAGCAGAACTCCGGAGTGACTCACATGGATTCTTTGGCTGCCATTGGCGGTGAAGTTCATCGGATTAGGGGTGTCCGCCAAGCTGACAGGTCGTTTTATGATGATCAACCCAAAGTCTGGATGGAGCAATGTTGGAGCGCAGCTAATACAGCAGACCATGACCATGTTTTCCGCCGTTCTTGTTGCTGTTGCTCTTCAACTGGGTTAATCCCCATTGCCTGTATATATAGGGCCAGAATAATCAAACAAAAATCAAATACACAGTATCATATTTGCAATCTGCTCTTTTTCCCGTGTCCTCCATCGCCCCCAGAACTCCCTGCGGGGGTCCGGTCCTCCGTGCGTTTGCGACGTGCGTCCAGGTGGGTCAGCCCAGGACCTGGTGTTGGCTTCAATCGTTGGCCCAGCTGGGCTTGGTCACTTGCACGCACGTCGCACGGGTTTGGATCCGATGATCCGGGCGACCAACGGTTTCTGAGGATGAGGGGGTCCATTTGAAGACTCCGTGGTTTGGGGGGCTGCAGGTGGGACGGACAGGATTTCTGAAGTCCATCACGGATTGAAGGTTAAGTTGCAGTCTCAAATCTCTTCGTAGATGTTCCAACGAGCCGAAACAGCTGTGAAAGGCATGCTGACTCACTTCAGTCGTCAAAGGCTTCTCAGCCAAAAGCCTCCCAGTCTCTGGCGAGCCTGGACTCTTGTATGTTTTAAACTTGAGCAAAGTTGTTGTTTTAGGGCCAACTGAACTGGTCAGATTCAACCAAGAATTTCGATCATTACGCCCCAGTGGTTGTTGTGCACTGACTCAGCCGGCGCATGTGCCTAGGTCGTGATGTCCCTGCTCTACCTGGTTGCACCCGCTCTCACGGGCCGAAGCAGCGAAGCGGTTCAGACGCTCTACAAGGCCGCCGGAGATCGATTTTCAGCTGGTTTGTGGCACAACTGTTTTGCCACCCCCCTCTGAGATATTGAGAAGTCTGACTCTGGAAGATTGAATGTATGGAAGAGTGGTTTGGATCAGAGTGTTGGACCAGGGACCGACCATGGATGGTTCTCTAGTGGCAAGCTTCGGCGGCATATGTGTTGGTTGCATTAGGTTCACTTTGTGCATTATGCAATATTAATAGTTGGTTAAGTACTTCAATTCACTTGTTTTAAGGCATTTCTTGAGATTCTGTATGTTCATTCTCACCTTGTTTGTGGGTGACCTGGGTGATAGTTTTTGCTGGAGCCAAGCGGCATGAACAGCTCAGGCAGAGTTCTTTTTTCGGCTAGAAGTCTCATGAAGTCTCAGATTCCTCAATCTCAAAGGTATAATTATCTTCATTGCTCGGCCATGTTCATTTTGTTGCAGTCTGTTGATCATCAGTTCTTTCTTAGTTGCCTGGCCGTGGGAGAACCACGCAAAGGGCCAGCGGGAGGCCTTCCCGGAGCTCAAGCGCGAGCATTATCTGAAGATCGTGGTCAGCTGGCTTGAGAGGGGACTCATGTTTTGGAAGGGAGACTTCAAACGCATTCCATCACAGACTTGCACACTGAAAAGATTGAAACCAACGGTCTGTAAATATACTTCCAAGCGTTCTTTTTCACAGGCGAGCTGTTTAGAGATGTATTTTGACAACTGAAATTGGTTTCCATGCACACTGACATAATTCTGGTGGTTTATCACGCTTTACCAAATAGTTTGTATGTGGACTTACAAGCTTTGGCTGAATCATATCAGTTGTGAATATTGCGTAAGTCGTCGAGCAGAAGTAAGAGACAACCTTCGCCTTTTGTGCTGCTCTTTGCTGTTCTCATGCGCATTAGTATATTGTGTTAAACCCCTAGGTCTTCGAGTCTAGACAGCAAGTTCAGTACCTCGAAAAGAGATCGAAAAAAGAGCAACCCCTGGTCAGCACCACCCCTGGTCAGCAGCTGAATTTTGGTGAAGAAACCGACATTGGATCAATTCCCACTGCCCACTGATGCCCAGTGCGTGTTCAAAGATCTCTTGGTCAGTCTCCAAGGCTACCTAAAGTGTCTCAAATCACCCTCTCAGAGGGTGTTTGGATCCACAGCGCAAGAATAGTAACACCTTTTAAGCTCTAAACCAAAAGAACATATGCACAAACAAGATACCATTTATACGATTTATATAGCAAGTCAGTATTAGTAAAACATGTGCAAACAATCCCTCCATAAAGAATCCGAATCCCCCCAACAAAAAAGGAAGACACAGACCTAACAGACCTGACAGCTCCCTGCGCACCCGCTCGCGACCTGCGCACTGCTCAGCTGCCGCACCTGGTCCTCGGCTGCTGTGCCTATTTGGAGCGCTTACGCATCGCCCAGGCGGAGAGGGGACTGCGGGACTGGGGGCGCAGTGCCTTGTCCAGCCAAGCAGCTTTTTGGAAGGCGCAAAAAAATCCGCTCTTCAAGATACCTCACCTCAGAAAATCGTACAGAAAGTAATTACAAACCCGCCAGAAGTTGACAGTACTGAATGTGGACAGTTTATTTTTCCGGAAGATTGCTCTGTGGGCAGAAGCCACGTCGTCCAGAAGAGACCAGTGAGATCACGGCCTTGTCCAGTGACATGTTGACACAGGGACCTAGTTGCCAGAAGTGGTGACCACCTAGGGGTCTGAGGAAAGTGAACACCTAGGGGTGTGAAGAACTCATCCACCACCAACAAGCCTGCCCACGCCTCACCTAGCTGTGAAGAACAAGACTCCTGCAAGCTCCGTTGGCAAAATAGATCAGCGGCTGTCTAACACGGCTTGTTATTTCTAGCCCTGCTAATGTTCCTGATGTTTTCTTTTGGGTGCCCATCCGGATTCACTAGAGCTATCAGCTATCAATTGTATATTCCAGTAGCAGGGCACTGGGCACTAGTAGTCTAGTGGGTCTGAATGTATGGTGTTCCATGTGTACCAAACTCTTTTCAGACCTTTTTGCCTCAACAACATCTTCTTTGAAGCATTCCACTCCGCCAGTCCACGGTGCGTTCATCTCTCTCCGAGCGGTAAGGGGCCCATCCAGTGTGGGAACTGGAAAATCCACACCAAGGCGTCACAGTCACTTGGAGCTCAACAGGTGTCTCACTTAAGGAAGTTGGGATGTCCATGCTCCACTCACTGGATGGGGCTCAAAGCCACCATAGCCACCTCGACATGTGAACCCCCCCCCCTGCAGTCCTTGACCCGGCGCTTCACCCGCGCGGGGCAAACGCCGTCGACGGGGCGCCCCCACCAGGTGACGATCCTGACTGTGCAGGGCCGTCTTCGCGTGGATACGCTGGAGCGGGGTGGTTGCGGATCTGGGAAGCCGGGTGACTGGGAAGGGAATGTTGCACCCACCTGCAATGGAGAAATCACTACGGCATCATGCGGCGGTCGAAAGCGTTGTGCCACCCAGGTGTTCAGTTTATAAAAGTACATGTTTGGACTGGATTAACGACATGGTGACTATTTTGCCAATCCCATGTAACATGTGACTGAGAAACAAAAAGCCTAAATGTGTTGCATGTTTCAAGGCCTTCCAGACTGCAGTGAATTCGTTGTGTTATTTTTTGTCTTTGAACCAAAAGGGAGGCTGTATGATCAGCTTGAGCTAACTGCCAGAAATTGCCCGTCCCATCAGCACGACCACAAAGCTTCAGTTCATTGGAGTAACCGAGAAACCGGGACAATACAAAATACTCAGCCATACTCACCTCGTTCTCACCTCTCAGAATGTTCTAAGTGACAGTGAATAAAGGTTTGGAACACTCGTTTGCTCAGGCTCAGGTGCTTCCAAAGAGTCCTCATGATTCTTCTCCTAGGAGCAAGGACGCTACTAGGGGCTCCTGGCCGTACTACTAGGAACAAGAAGCTACGAGTACTAGGAGCACAGGTAGCCGCTACTAGGAGCAAATTCAGAACCAACGACACCGCTTCCTCCTCCGTTTCAGGAGAGCATTGAGACCGCCTCCTCCTGGGGGGTGGAGTCCACCATTTCCAGGCGCAGCTCGAGCTAACTGTATGGGTGTGCCAGCAGAGGTTAAGTGCCCTTATAGGACACTACTGTGGTACCTATGGGATAGTCTATCGGGTTCTTCAACCTCTGTTGCTGTGGTGTTAACACTCCCGAAAACTGACATGGACCCGGGTCGAATGGCACCCTCAAAGACCGTTCTCCTCTACAAAGCAGTACTAGTGGTTCTCAGGGTCTACCATGTGAGTTTTCAGTGAGGTACATGCACGGCACCGCACCACGGGCTGTCCTTTGCACCTCGGCCGGACGGAATGCCCTGCACAAAAGTCCTAGGGGTCGAGCTTGTAAAGGTCTCTCTCTTTCAATGCACCCGGTCTGTTTCCGGGGGTTGGTGCAGGCACGGTGCAGGCACCCGATCCTCTTTGGAAGCCACAGCCACAAAGATGACAACTTTGGATGCTGAAATCGTTTTGGAGCACTGTGCAGTCACTACTTGGAAAAGGGAACACCAATCGATGGATGCAACGCTGTTGGTGTTGACTCCCTTTGGTGAGACCCATCGCAGACCAAGAGACCCTTTTGGAGACCCTCAAGATTGCTACTGTCACAAGTGCCATCATGGCCCATGTTGAACTGAACGACTTCGAATGGCGACCCATGCCAGAAGCAGCACTCAAAGCCGGTGCCTACGAGCGCTGATCCGATATAAGAACCTGATGGTCGCCAAGTTGAGGAGCCGCGCGGTGTTTCTGTTGGTCGTCTTTTGGTGGTGCTTCAGTGGGATGGTGAAGCCGGTGAAGTGGTGTTGGTGTATGTTATTGTGCCGCTTGGGGGAGATTTGGACACAGGTCCGGTGAAGAAGGATGAAGATGTGATCGGGCCTAGTGGTGGCCCTTGGATGTAGGGAGCCTTTGGGAATCCTGGAGTAGCTTTCCACATCGGAGGGAAGACGTTGGGATGCTGATTTCCATGGGTGGAAGGCAGGACGATAGTCTTCTTATCCCCCTATGATAAATCCACGGCGACGAGCACGAGTCGTCCATCAAGCAGGGTGAACCGAACCGTGCTGGCCAAAGCAGCTTCCGCAAGGTCCCCGGAAAGTCGGGTGACCGGAGGGTGGGACAGCTTCTATAGGGCTCCAAGTACCTTAAGGTTGGACTGGGGTGGAGTTGGAGGGTTCAGAGTCCAGTCATACCTTCGGAGCTAGGCCAGGAGCCCCAAAAAGAGTGTACGTTGGATCCACGAATCTCCGGTGGATGTTTAATTGGTGCATAATCGTGCAGGAAATGGACGGATGAGCTGATTTGCATCTTTGCGCCTTGGAGGGAGAACAGGATTGGGAGAGAATTGGAGGGAGGAAGACCTTCCTGGATCCCTTGGGTCGTGAGGGAAGCGTTCGGAACGTTGTGTTGTTTGGAGGTTGGATTTCGAGTTGCTATGCTCAGACAACATTTGTCTCTTTGATTGTCCAACTATGTTCAATCTGTAATGGTATCCAACCATGTTTAAAACATTATCTTCTAAAACCATTTTGCACAACAGGTGCAAATGACTGTCGATCTGTGCAGCACCTGCAACAACCATCGTATCTCTAAACAACCAGGACCTTCAAAGATCTTCAAAGTGACCATTTGAGATGTCAGAATGAGGTCACTTAGTCCCTGAAGAGGTCACTTAGAGACTCCAAAGAGGTCACAGAGATATTGACAGCTACGCTACGACCCACCGGGATGGAACATCGGCGACCGTGTGAGGTTCCGTCCTCGGTTCACGTCCTCATGCCCCGGACGGCCGGGATGACGTGCCCACGAAGCACCGCGTTCAAGAGAAACGTAAAACGCCTTTTGGGGACCACATGGACAAACATATCCGATCTCCACCTCCACAAACATGGTTTGATACAACAACAACAACAACAACAACAACCACAACCACAACCACAACCACAACAACCACAACAACCACAACAACCACAACAACAACAACAACAACAGGTGGACTGTTCCGTTGAGCGTTATTGTTCCAGGGACACTGAGGAACCTGGGTTCAGTATGTCGGACGCCAGTCCAGTCGATCCGGAACCCCTCCAGTGGATCCGGACGTTGGGCCGTCCAGTGTGGGGATGCTCCATAGAGATCACTTGTGCGCACTTGGGTGCACTTGGAAGACATATATGTTGGGAGGCGGCTTCTTTGCGCTTTGGAGCCTGGCGACAGAGTTAGACCGAACCTCAGTCCCATAACCCTTCTGGCATAAATATACATGCCTGGTTCTTCAAAGTGACCTTTTGACAACCTGGTTTGAGGTCACTTAAGCCTCCTAAAAGTCACTTCGGAACCTTCAAAAAGGTCACTTTGAAGAAGCTGGTACAGTAGTGCATGTTCCTTTTCAGACTGGTTCTCGCTTCAGGGGCTCGGCTGTAGCCCCCCCCCTCCATCCGGTCAGCTGTCAGGTCTTGGTGCTGTCCTTCGCGGCCGCCTTGGTGCCGGGCACCGACATCCATTCCTTGGCCTTGCTCTTGGGAACAGGAGCGAGCGAGGGTCTTGGCTGGTGGAAACAGTGGTCGGTGGCCAGCAGGCACGTGGGGATGTAAGGAGGTCGTGCGGATGAAAGGAGGTCGTGGGCCTGGTGGAGATATTTTGGGGCGAGTGGCCCGGTGGGTATAGATCCTACAGCTTGATAGAGGAGAGGGTGTTGATACACAGAATATCACACAATCAAATGGCAGCAGAGCAACAGCCTTCTCCATGGAACACTTCCATGGAAGCAATTCCAAGGCAACTCCAATGGAACGACAATGCCTTTAACATCCTTTAACCAACGGACAACCAGGTCCAGCGGTCGTCCCAGGACCCGCGCTGCTGCTCTACAACACTCGGGGCACCTACCGTGCTCGGAAGCGCCTTGGACCGTGCTCGGAGGAGCGGTTTACACAGCTTCCTGAGGTTTCAGCAGATATCAGCTATCTTAGGCTATTTTCATATTAGGAGCTGTTTAGAACAAGAACACAACATCAACATCCATCATGAACTTGTTCAGGTGCTTCGGCAATATTGAAATCATATGCGCCAAGTACTATATGATGTATATCTCTGCAACATCCAATTACCATCTCAACCATCTCAAACACTTAAACATGGTTCTTGAAGTTTCAAGTTCATGTTTTCCTTTTGCCACCAGGCGTCACAAAAACAACATCTGCTTGACAGCACGAGTCCGGTGCCCGGACGCAGCTCACCCGAGGTTGGATTGTGGCTACTTTGTCCTTCGCTTCTCAACGGTGCCTTGTGACCGAAGAAGTACCCGCGCTCGGGCAGTGGATTCGATGGATTCGAGAAGAGCCGGGAGGTTTTGCGTTCGATGAGTGACCCTGGAAATCGGCAGCCGAATCGTCACAAAGGTGCAGGTCATCATGTTCTGAGGGAAATTGTTTAGAACTATTTTATCCTGACACTCCATGTATGGCATATGCATATATAATACCTACATTGGGTGATTGAAAAGGGGTCAAGGAAAGTATATAATATGGAGTATATAGTTGGGCCCTTTGATGGATAGACAGAATCCCAGAGGAGAGGGTGAAACCGTCGCTTTTACAAACAAGGCACTCAGAGGACGAGAAGAGCCTGGTTTAGCCCGGTCCGGTCCACTGCTCCGGCCAAATGCATTTGGTATTACTTTGTCGTTCTGCCACAGCATCTTGGAAACCTCTCCAGCCAGATGTGCCAAGATCGGCCAGATGCCGTGAAACCAAACGGCCCAGTCTCTGCCGCGCGCTGCGCGACCCTGCCGCCCCACGCCGCGCCGCCAGCCGCGCCGAAGGCGTTGATGTTCGTCTTCCGCCTCACCGCGGCGTCTCGGTTGATCGACTGGCCGGACGACACGCAGTGGCCCATCTCACTGAAGGAGCTGGGCGTGATCCGACCCCTGTGGGATGCTCGGGCGCAGCGAGACAGCGGAGGGGGAGGTGGCCGGGGAGATGATGGGAGTTGAAGTGGCGAGCGGACTTGAACAGGATCTTAAGTTATGCAGTTATACATAACTAACTTCAAGGTTGTGTGGTTTTGGATAACATCACTTCTTGAGTTGTGGTTTTGGGACTCTGATTGAAGAATGATAGTCATTCTTTGTCTGTAAGGTGGGTTTGGGACGCGGACGAATTGGTGACCGGTTTCGCGTATTTCAGAGGGATTCCACGCGGTCACAGGGTGTTCGAGACAGTTTTGAGCAGTAAGTGTGGGTGGGCGAGGAACTGTTGGGTTGGATGGCTTGGATTGGATGGGTGAAGTGGAGGTCGTTTTGGTCTAGTTTGGTCTTCAGCTTGGATTAGCTCGGTGTTTGGTCGCTTGGCACTCCACTTTGTGACCACACCGGGAGGAGGAATATCCTGCAAGCTGAAACGCGTTGATTCTATGTCTACTGGAAAATGACCATCAAAGAATATCCACCAACAAATACTAGGTCCATTGTCATGTTCAATGAACATGTGTTTGTTGTTTCATGTCCTGAGAAGACTACTTTGGCACTATATATATATAATATCCATATATAGTGTTTTCTTCAGATCAGATCATCCAGTGAATCCAGTGCTCTCGAAACTCGTGCGACGTCGACTCGTTTGGTGAGTTCGTGGGCCGCGCCAACAGGGATTCCACACCATCCAGACCATCCATGGGATTGGCATAGTTACTTACATTGGGGGGGGGTCATAAATGGGTATTGGTTATTAAATGAATGTATTTTGTATATAACTTAACTATATTCCATACATGGACGGATCACTTATGGTTGACTGTGTGGGAAGTTCCACTTCTATAGCTTTAACATCCCAAACAAACAAAACAACAGCTTGCTTCTCCTGTTTTTGCAGAACTTTCTTGTTCAACCATCCCTTTCACACACCTTTCAAAGGCTCTCTTCCTTCGCTGAGGATCCTCCCATGAAGTTGGCCATGCTGGGCATGATCGCCGTCTTCAGCCGCGTGGCCATCATCGCCACCATGCGCCGTGAGGCCCGTTTTGGACCGTATGATCCGGTGACCCCCGGTGGACCGGGTTGGAGGCCATCGCTATGATGCTGGAACGGGAGGGTGCATCCGGAAGAACGCGGACTCTATAGAGAAAGGCCATCCACAACTGAGAACGAAGGATGTGAGAAGATGTGTTCTTCTCGTTGGACTCTAGAGGTATTTGTTTTTTCTGTGTGTGTGAATGTATCATGATGTATATAATCACTGTTGCAGGGCTGCTTTGACTGCCTTGCACAAAAATCAAGAACTTCCCACATAGTCACCAAAACATCTTGTGTTCAAATACCTCACCACTGCCTGCAGTACATCCTCACAGAAGCCTTTTTCATTCCCTTTGTTCATCCCTTGGGCCGCTCCGGCTGCGTGCGAGCTTGCGCTCGGCAGGAAGATGATCGACGGACCGAGGAGGTGGATCAGGTCGCTGAGGAGTGGGGTCGCTGAGGCCGAGTGGAAGGTCGGGAGGAGAGGAGGCTGTATACTGTGTACATAGCTTCTTCAGTGCGTGACCTCTTTGGAGTGCCATCCAGTGACCTTGTACAGGCCCTTTTGTGAACTCAAACTGGGATATCAAAAGGTCAAATTGAAGAACCAGGTCCATGCTGTATAATGCACACCTGTATATGAGAATGGGGATAGACATGGATAGACTACAGATCTTCCAAGGACTCCGCGGAAGAAGGAAACGGTAGTGGAAACGGTGGTCTCCCCGATTAAAAAACAAACACTTGTGATGAAGAAAGCGTCATTTACAAGTTCCAATGGGAACGAGGTGATTTGAGCAGCATCGACCCCCTTGGGGCAGGGCAAGTGTTTTGAGTTTACTTAGCCCAAGGATGGCTAACAGATGCTGACAGTACTACTACATACGAGTACTGTATATATACGTTGGACTATGCCATGCTGAGATGCGTGCTTTCCATGTGTTTCGAAAAAAGCCGTGTCTCGGTTTCTGAGCCAGAAGCTGAGAGGATTGGGCACAGGCTAAGTAATACAATCTTGCAATGGCACATCATGGGTTGACACCCGACGCCACCCATGTGGTCGGCACCCACTGGTGGACGGCTTTGTCCCACGAGGAGCCTCCAATGTCCAAGCCGGCGGAACGAGTGGAAGAGGCCAGCGCTGGGGAATGAATGAGTCTTAGAGGTTTGAGCTCCTTGGGAGATGCATAGGCATAGACTGCCCTGACCATATCTCTCATGCTTAACCGGAACATCCGGCCATGTATGCTAGATTCTATATTGGCGCACCAATGATTGCGAAGCAATGATTGCGAAGTTTTTTTTTTCTTTGGCCAAAGTGTTGAGATTTGCACCAACGACTCAGCGGTCCGGTGACTGGTTGAACATGTTGTGTTCGCTCGGTCACCAATCCTCAGAAGATATCTTTGAATCCCTTCCAATACCAATCCTCCAGTGCTGATCCTTCCAATGCAAATCCTTCTGATCCTTTACCAATCCTCCAGTGCTGATACTTTTTTGGGAGACTATCACTTCACGAAGATCTATTCCGTAGACCCATATATTGGCCTGTCAAGATGCTTCATGCGCCTCGTATGGGGGCGCCTCACGTGGACATATCAGGAGAAGCCAGCGACGTCAGGAGTGGAAGAGGTCGGTGCTGGGGAGTCTGAGGGAGTCTTGGGGTCACGTACTACCTGGTTTTGCTTAAGGTAATTGTCTATGTTCGCTACGGGTAAATCCCCATGTGGTGAATATGTTGTAATGAAGTACCAGTCTCAGTTCCTTAAGCAAATCCAAGTTTACCATCTCTCATGCTTCTGCTTGGCAAGATATGCTAGGCTCTATTGTAGTTTGTACCAAAGGTATGGGTTAGGATTTACTCACAACTTTGTAATCCAGTTGTTTGGCTGATGCTTTTTGTTTGAATGGTTGTCCTCCCTGAGCCAACTACGCCACCGGTGTCCACCCGACACGTCCACCCGACACGCCGTCTGGCGAGGCTCCCTTGTCCCTGGACTCCCTCACTTTTTGATCAATGCCTATGCAACATGCCAAGGTGGTCCAACATCCAAAAGCTCAGAGCAAGTTCTTCATTTTGGTACTGGCCCAGCGCTCATGTTCCCAAGCTACAAACATCCTATCCCCCCTAATTCAATCCTGGCTATATATATATATATAGATGTTTGGGTATAGTGCTGATGTTCACCAATAAATCAAGCTGTCAATAAATCAAGCTGTCACATACTGTACTGTGATTTATTGTGACAATGGCAACCGCATGCCCCATTGTTCAGAGGACATCCACCTATGTTCCCAAGGGTCATCGTTTCCAGCACGTCTTCCATGAAAACAATAAGAAGAACCCGCCTCCCCGTGCAACCGTGGGAACCCATTTTCCATCATTTTCCACGGAACCGGCAACAGCTGCAGAAACCTGCTGAAGAGTCGCAGAGCTCCACCTTCACCTCAGCACCTGAGCCGCAAGAAAAGACACAAAAAACCGTGGAAACAGTCCCGCACGCACCGAGGAGGAGACTGGGACAGGAGAGTGACTGGAATGACGGAGATGCTTTGTTTTGGACATGAGAGGCATCTATGTCATATCGATCTGCGGCGTAAGGAAAACACTGTGTTTGAACACACTTGTTGCGTAAGGGTTGCGTAAGTACATTTGTGTACATGTAAAATGATGTCAAAGGGGATTGCTGTTGCCCTCGCGTAAGCAAATCCTTTGGGGGAACCCGTCGGAGTCACAATTGTGTCATGGCAGAAGCTTTGCGCAAGACTTCTGTTAGCCAAGCGCTGGCGTAAGCCAAAACTATGATTGGGTAAGCAACGCGCAAGCAAAAGCATAAGAACTTGATGCGACATAGACGTTATTGGAGGTTTAATCATACGTGTATGCCGAAGCTATAGTTGTTTTTTTTCACATCGCAGCAGATGACGTGGTCTCAAACATAGCGCCAAAAGTGGCGGGTTGCCGCATCTCGCATGCCTTTTTTCCGACAGGAAATCGAGGCAGAGATCCCGGACGAGCACTCGGGTAACACCCAGGAGATCCCCAAGGAGGCCAGGCCGAAGGATCGTGGGCACAGGTCCAGCGAAATGTCGGAAGTGGAAACAATGAGTTGCTTTCCACAAGAATGGAAGGGGATAAAGAGAATTGATGGAATGGAAGTGGATAATGAGTATCTTTCCAAAATCAATTGTCTGAAGAAGTGGAATGTGCAATATACCACAAGAAAGAATCAATCAGGATGAGTTGGTTTCCGAGATTGATGGAGTTTTGTTCCGTATACAATTTAGGGACACATGCAACATGTGGCTTCTCTAGTCATTGATCCCTGAACTCAACTACCCCAATGTAGGTAAATGTGCCAGTCCCATGGAGTGTTGGGGTACAGTATGGCTGTTGGAGACTGTATGATGGGGCGCAACAAGGACTTTGGACCACCAAGGCACTCCCCAAGAACTCTAGCAAATCTTGACCAATAAGATAAATAGGTCATATTAATTAATAATAAGTCATCAATATGATGACCGAATGATGACCCATATATATCATACAAACTACCACTTGACTTCAGAACACGCAGACGGTTGAAGGATCTCATTGAACCCCGGCCTGTCATCCCAGGAAACGACCGTGAGCATCTACCCGTCGCCAAGGATACAGAGGCGTTCTTTTTTTTTTGGATCTTTTAGCGAGCATCCACATGCTGCGGGGCAATGTGCAGTGATTGATATATTTTTTCTCTGCTCCAGGATATTGATTGTTCTTTGGGTTCGTCCATTACCTGTAGCAGTCAGTAAACAAGTTTGTAGCATTATCACTATTTTGTTGGCCTGCAACCTAACCATCATCATCCACGATTACTAGTAATAGGATAGACCCAAGAGACGTGTTTTGGATGTACCCTTCCAATTTCCAACATGTAAACAAGGCAACACGCACAAACACACTTGTTCGTTGCAATCAAAAGTCTCACCACTTGCTGATTGGGTAGTGTGTTCCGGAATGAGTGTTTTTTGGAGCACAGGAGTCAGCAACAAGAATGGAGTCAGATGTGATCTACCATCCAAGCACTTCCCAGCTGCCGCGTGTGGCACACCCCAAGACACTTCGGAACAGTTGCTACATCCATGCTGTGGGGGTATCCAGAACCCAGCCACTCCATGGCTCATGGGACGGGCATTTATTTAGGTGGTTGACAAGGGCTGAATGTAGGTAAATATGCCAGTCCCATGGAGTGTTTAGGGAAGGGCCCTCTGTCAGTGTTATTTTATTATTATTTTTTTTTAGAAGGCTTCCAGTGGTGAAAGCTGAGACCAACCCACATCAGGCTGAGATTGCTTAGAATAACACTTTGTGGAGCAAGGGACGAGGTTACGTGGGACGGAAAAAATGTCTCCGAAAGGAAGACCATCTTGCGAACACCAACCAGGGCGTGCCATTCACTTCCATTTCAGGGAGTGTAGATGGCAGACTTCTGTTCAATTGATATGTTGATAGTGTTGAACGTTCGATGATGGGTGCTTGCTTCTGATGACGGAGTATGATTGCTTCTCTTCTTTGGTGCACCGAAGATTCCATGTTCTGTGCCGTCCTGCACATTTTCTCCAGGCCATCAGTGCGCTTCGCACCCAGCACTGTGGAGGTGCCTGGAAGGGGGAATGGTGCTTTTGGAAGTTCAATGTAAGGATTGTGACATTTCAGGTAGCTGGAAACTTAGTTATGGTATACATGTTGCACAGCTTGGGTGACATATCAGATAAAGACAGCCACAATTAATTTTGCTCGTTTGAGTTTTGAATCCCGCTTGCAAGTTGCTAATTTTGGTTCGTTGAGGAGGAATATATACCGGGGATTAGTCCCAAATCTTTGTCACGTTGCACATGGATTCACTTGCTTAGTGAAACAGGAAGTATTGCCTGCACATTCCTACGGGGATTTTGGATGCTCTATCCCCCAAACACGGAATGTATGGGATATATACCCGTGAGCCCAGATCAACCACCCCAATGCTAGGTTATGCCACTCCCATTGAGTCAAGTTCCGACACTCCGTGCCGAGAAATTCGCAGTCACCGAGGCAGTTCATCGAGATAAGTTGCTTCTTGGCTTCAAAGAGGGAGATAGATTCACAGTTGTCACACAAACGCAACCCATTAGTCCCATTCGGTAGTACACTTATTGTTACTTGATTTGACGGTTTCTTGTCTTACTTGCTTCATTGTCAAGAAACGCATGCTATCTGCTGCTAGCTCAGTGTTATGCAATGTCAGACCACTACCTGGAAGTTTCATACAACAGGATATGACCACATGTGTTAATACCGCAGCACATCAACAATCACCAACGAACATATTTATATTTACATATATTTGGATATATTTGGTGTGTCTGATGTTTGTTGTTGTTGTTTAACGATGTTTTTCTTTGGTATTTTGCAACTCCAACTCGATCCTTTTTCGAGTCATTGTACCCTTCAGCTGCAGCTGCGGCCCGTTCCGACCCAACACGGGACCTGACGTCCTCCGTGGCGGACACCGAACCCCCCCCTGTTCGGGTCGGGTTCGTCAACCCGTCAGGCCCGGTAGAAACCTACCGGGTCTGGGGGTCTCCTGGATTGAACATACACATCCCAATCAACCCTTAGCAGAATCACGGTAAGTAGCTTTTCTTCACCTCATGGATCACCTGTGGCATATTGGCATTGACCACATTCCAAGCGGCCCTAGCAGTGTAGAACTTTCAATTCCCAGGTTTCTGGCTACCTCCAGGAGCACCAGGGTAAACACACGTCCATGCATGTCTATGGCATCTATGGTTGAGTCAGAAAACGTTAGTTGGCAAGCCACCTCACCTGAATAGGATCTCTTTGAGTTTTGGGAGCTGTACTTCTATCAGATCCTAGACCATTCATGGGACTGGAATCTTACGTACATTTTCCCCATCCATATGACCCATTAGTCCATGTGTTCCTTACTCTTCCAATCCTCATGATTGAGGGTTTGAGGATACATTATACAATATTGTACATATTGTTATATTATAGATTATTCTTTGCAGGCATCGCCTCCGGGTGCATCGTCCTGGCATGGAGGAGAGGATTTTGACGTGACCTGGTAACACATGGTGGCGCATGCACGTGCCACGCGTGCGCCGCGCGGCATGACACCGTGGACGATGACAGGGACGAGATGCGGGAGCCCTGCACCAATGAACTGGCTAACCCCAGACCATCCATGGGACTGGAAGGGTTAGGACCACATGGATGGGTCATTTGGATGGGGTAAATGCATATATAACTGTAGAACTATTCCAGTCTCATGGAGCGTTTGGTAACTGTAGAGCACCAGAAATCTCCGGCAGATGTGGACTGGTTGACTGGAGTTGCTGGGTAAAGCGGTTTACAGGGATTGGTAGATGTTCTGACATGTTCTGATGTGGGCTCCCAGAGATCTACCAAGCAGGCCTGCCTGGTGCGGAAGGGGTCAACCCAGCGGGAGGGGAAGCCCAACGTTTCAGTACTTGTCAAGAGAAAAGTGGACAGTACTTGGTCTCTCCGAAGATTACTTGTTGGAAGTATTGAATTGATTGAATGGTTTCGAATCAGTTTTGTTGGGAAACCAGCCAATTGGTAGTTGGTTTGGAGTCTCAGACTCACGTGTTGCAGCCTGGCCTTCATTGAACTGATGTTTAACTCCCACTTGGCATGAAGGTAAGTGCCCGACCTTCGTCCATCTGATGTTTCCACTCAACAGCCTTTTGTCCAACGTTTTGGGATCCTTCAGTATGGAATGGAATGTTTCTGGGAGTGTTTAAATTTACATCTTTCTTCTTGCTTTCTGGTCCTCCTCACTCTTCGTTCCACCCCAATCCCACTGCATGTCGCATGTCTCCTTCAGGTGGCTGATTCCTTCTTGGATGGAGTTCATGCCCCTGAACATGCACGTTTACCTCTCTGCACTCCTCCTAGTACCTTGGATCGCAAAAGAAGTGGACTCCAGTTCTGTGTTCACCTTTGCAAGGCTTCTTGGGGGGGCCAAAAAGGATCGGGTATTTATATACTAGTTCCATCTAGTTCCTAGTTCAGTGGAGAATGGCTAGCCTGGATAGCCTTCTTGGGGGATTGGTTTCCCCACCTTCCAGACCAACAGGTCCGGTGGAACAAATCCACACGGTGAACTTCTACTTTTTTGCTGAACTGATTGCGTGGATGGGATGGCACCGCCGGTTGGTAGGTGAAAAAGGAAAATGGTCTTCAGAACCATGGGGCCAGGCTATCCACGTGGCTCCATGGGGGCGCTTCGTCCAGGGAGTGTCGTTTCCAGAACTGAGGGAGTCAGACAGAGTGCGTGAGCGGTGCGCGCGGGTTTCCACAGCAACGAGTTCGACGGGTCAAGCTGCTACGCTATAGGCGTGTCAAAGAAAACGGTCCCTGAAGGCGTGGCCATGCAGGTCAGCTATTCGCTGGCCTTTAACGCTCTATTATGATTGTATATGTTCTTTATAAAACCAAAGGTGGTGTAGATGATTGTGTACACTTCCGAAGAGCAATGAACCAGATGGAAGGCTTCTTGGTGGCAAGTCTTGGGTCCTGCTGGCCCTGTGCCGGAGCCAGAGAGTCGTCTGGCAACCCAATCAGGGTGTGTCAACACTACTCGCCCAATGCCACCAAAATACATTGTCCTTTGGCAATGCCATTCATTGGCCTTAATACTAGATGGTCGAAATCCGACTTCATGTTGGACTGGACAGCGGCGGCTATTGACTTGTAACCCTAACCCACATGACACACAATTAAGATTAAGTAAGTTTGATCATGGTTTGCAATGTTGATGGGCACATCTTGCACCGCTTCGATGTGTTGGTTTTGTTCGGTGGTTTACGATGCTTGTTCATGCTGATGGATGATACCAGTAAAGGATCATCACGATTTAGGGGAACAGTCTTATACCAACCATATCAACCATCCTCATCCACTGGGATCTGGTTTGATATACCAAAGCTTTACTGAGGTCTTGGTGTTTGCCTTGAGCATCCAAGAGGCCGATTCGGGTGGAGGGCTCGGGTGCTCGGGGAGACAGTATTTATATGTATTTATGACTCAGGTCGATGGTTTGGGGACTCCAAATGGGCTGAACACAACATTTTTGGGGTTCTATACATCATACTGTATGCTGTGAAAGAGATCAACTAGTCGTTTTGGGCCGTTGGGTCATCCTTTTTGAAGACCAAGGACCTATAGGTGGTGCGTAACCCTCGGTTTGCTGCTACGAACTTTGCACTAAGGACTGGTGATTGAAAATCTGTCTCAAATGCGGGTGCGTCTTCAGACTCTATCCTGTATGCCGAAAAACATAAAAGCACCTGGCTCCAAAACATAGATTTGAAGCATGGGGTTTGCCATCAGAATGACCAACATGCATCGCCAGACGCATTCGTCGCTTGCTTCGGAGCTGTTTCAGCCGGTGTAGAAGGCGCTTGTTCGGCCCTAGTGGAGTGGTCATTGGAAGGCAACATGTCAATCGTGGCCAGTGAACAATGATTCTGCCAAAACCATAATACTACACCGTTTCAGAAGGCAATTGGACCCGACAACGGCACCTACATAAATAGTCTCCAATCACCGTACCTCAGAAGATGGCAGTGGATCCATAGGGCTTAGAGAGTTCACCATCTATTACACTGTTTGGTGAGAAGCAAGTCGGACCCCAGGGACCCCAGATGGGCAAAGGTTTGGCATGGCTATGGCTCAAGTTCTATTGGTTTTCTACCACTTGGAATGGCAACCGTGTGCAACCCAGCTGTGCAACCCAGCTGTGCTTCAAAAAGAAAGAAACACAGAAGGTGGGGTCATTGCATCCCACAGCTACACCAATCCTGATGGAGGAACTCCTGCATGACTCTAGAACTACGACTTGCTTCATGTAGATGGCACAACCCCAGGATGCGTTAGACAGATGGGGGTCTATACAGACCACCGACCTTGCGGATTGTGCCATCTACTCTGAAACCACTGTAGTTGTATACTTCTTCTCGTCTACTCCCTCTACTCTTTTCCTCTTCCCGGGCGTGGCGTGATGGCCGAAAGATTCCAAGCACGGAGCTTCCCCATCCGGTTTTGTTGCCGATCGGATGATTTAAACGGATGTTCCCCATGAGTAGACTAACCAAACCAGAACCCCCCCTTTTCTGAGCATTTGATACTTCTTTTTCTGGTTCACATGGGAGCAGTGAGCCGCAAATCCAAGCTCCCCAAGCAGCGATGGAGTATCGGATTTGGTCGAATCGATCGATGTCCATCCACTCGTCTCCCCGGCCTTGGGTTTTCGGTCAGGTGAACATTCTGAGTTTCCTGATGATGCTGGCGGCCCCTTTTCGGCATCGACCGAAATGCTGTTTCTGGCGGGGTCGGGCCAGGCTTGAAAAAAACAAAGAACAGAGCGGAGACGTAACTTGTTGGGGAGGCGCAGCTTTGAAAGAGACATATATCCAATCGTAATATCGACCATATGGTCATCTTGACCAAAACATTCCGCGCACGAAACATGTTATTCAAAGGCCAGTTCAAAGGCCATAACAAAAAAAGACTGAGTGACTGAGACTTTTCCTCCCCAAAATGCAAGTTTCAGAGAAATGCGCCTGCACATGGGAGAGCCGTCTATTGCGAACATCGCTAACATGGCCGCAATCGGATTGATTCATGGTTTCTCCACAACTTCTTTCTGCATCAGTGGTGTTTTCCCAGTAGAGCAACTAGACAGTACAAAACAGCCTGGGTTTTGGAAGATTGTGAATGGAACATGGTAGTTTATTGCGACATGTACGTGTGTCGTGCCAATGCAGTTTGATTTCTTAAGCAAAGCTGAGACCTTGTACTTGTTCTTTTGCATGGTTTGTCAGACAGACAATAGATTATTTGATGAAATGACCATCGGTATTCGATTTGTTTCGATTTGTTCATGTCCCTCAGTCCTTCCATTTCCTTTTGTCTTCGTTTTGAGCACCTTTGAGCTTGCTACGAAAAAAAATCCCAGACCATACATCGTGTGGAATACTTATGAAACAAGCCGGGTGCAGAAGATGTAAATGTTCATACCCTAAGAATCCGTGCGGGCTCTCCATGGCAGGGGTCGGACCCTCCATGGCAGGGGTCCGGGCCTTCTTAGGGATAGGTGAAATGGTACCAACTGGTCCCATTGGAGGGTCCGTCTTTCACCTCAACGGAGCCTTCGAGGTGATTTGCCTGTGCGGCTGGAGCAACCGCTGGGTCCAAGCGGGCAACGTCTTTTCCTGTACGACCCTGGCGGTGATGTGGCTTCAATATCTGGCAAGATCCTTGATCTTTCGGAAAATTCGGGTGATGGGATCCAGAGGAGAATCGGAGGACGACTTGGTGATCCTGTCAGGAGTGGATCTGTATCATTGATCATCACCTTATCACCTTTCCTTTCGAATCAATTGAACATGTTTTGTCCCAGGATCCCCTAAGCCGGCAGTCTGCCAGATCTGGGCAAATTTGGGCGGTTTATGGTTTTGTAGAACTTCCTCCTCACAGACTTTGAGGGGTATCCTGTGTTATGCTGGTATTTGCTTCGAGGGACTATAGGTCTCTGTATAATAAAGAGACACATTCACAGAACTGTGTATCACGTAAAAGCAAACCAGATCAGTCATCTTTCGAATCACAGATCAGTGCCATTCTCCCTTGCACAACGTCTCCTCGGCCTCTCGTCCCTCCGCACCACGTCTCCTCCGCACGTCTTGTTCTCCACTTCTCGTCGCAGCGTGGCACCGCCCTCTGCCCCGAGGATTTCGCTACTTGGAAAACTTGGCCACCTCCGATGGCACCTCCGACGTCACGTGAAGCCAGAAGCGCGCGCGAAGCGACGTGCCGCTCGGGGCTGCCGCGACCCTGGAGGGGGGGGTGAAACAACCGTTCGTGGGGGGACTGGGCGGTGCTTCCCATGTGGGTGGACTCGTGGGAAGAATGAGAAACGGTATTTTGTATGGGGTCCACTTGGTCTAGGATAGTGCTACCACTGATGAAGAAGACATTGTTTGGAAGGCTTGGAAGGTTGGAAGCTTCTCATAGATCTACTTGGAGGTTGAAAGTATTGTAATTATTAGCAAGGCAAAATAGATTGCAGGGAGACTCAGAGACATGAAAGACTGTTTGCCAATCGGGAGAGAGAACCAGCCTTATCATGAAGCAGCTGTGTGAATACGGCCTGAAACAGACACTTATTGAAGCACAGGCAGAATCCATGCTTTTGTAGCTGCATAAACTATATAGTTAAAGGGCTATCAATGTACTGTGTACTTGGAAAGTCGATGCGTTTTGTTTTTTTGTTGCGTTTCCTTGCGGAGGAATTGTTCTGGAAGTCGGTGCGTATTGCGTTGCCTTTGTGTTTTGCAAACCATGTTTTGATGAGCTTGTTTGTTTACATGCGTTTTCCACAAGCACTTTCAAGCCACATGTCTTGTCACCATTGGTTTTCACATTGTGCGCAAAATCAAACTTGACCAGTGCTCGTGGTCATCGTGGTCTGGCTAAGTTGATGCCTCTAGAAGTCGTTGAGGGTAAATGCTTGTTGGCCCTACAAGGCACAAGGCCTCTCACGCAAGATGTTCACAAGCCTTGATTTTGGAGAGAGAGGTGAGAGAGCCAACCAAAGAACAATACCTCATACAATGCAGGTTCATGGCGCTCACAAACCATGTGCAAGGCAGCCAGGCATGACAATTTACAAGTCACTTAGAAGTAGACAACAGTGCCTCAATGAGAAGGAGGAAGCGTAGACGTCGGTCTCAGCGGGGTTTGCTGTCCCAGTTCCAGTGCGAGTGAAGAAGCATGAGCATTGGAGATTTTGTTTTTTACAACGACTGGCCCAAAATCCTGATAGCTGTCTCCTCATCTCACTAGTCGAACGAAAGGGCTTTGGACCAGGAGTTCATGCCGGAATGGTTCTACGCGAGGGCTTTGGAATCGGGCGAACATCGGTCAACCCCCCCACCAGCGGTCTGAATTGAACCTTGAGCGACCGCGACCGCACCGCGGCACGCGTGGAGCGGCACGCGTGGGGCCCCAGGTTTGGTTACGGCGCGTGGGATTGGAATGTACCTCCAGTCAGGCACGGGACGAAGCGATGGATTGCACGAAACAATGGGAGGAAATGGGAGGAACATGAGAGGCAAGCGCTTGAAAGGCAAGCAAAATAGCACGTGATAGGATCCACAGATACTGTATTACATGATGTGTGTTGTTCAAAGCTTGTCTATAATTCAACAAATATATACAAATATAAATTAGATTGTTGCTGTTATTGCTCTTTAGGCGCATCCTGGATTCGCAGCTTCCATTACGTACGTACTGCTTGTGCATCCAGACCTCAGCAAGGGCACGCAGAGTGTTGGGATCTGACAGCAAAGGACCTTTCAAATCTTTCTATGATGCTCTACACCCCATAACTCCTTCATTCAGGTTGGAATTCTATAGTCTTAATTGAGTTATCACTCTCAATAATCAAGGATCCGCCTGCAGATCATACTTGCACATGTGGGAACCCTGGGTTTGGGGTTGGGTTCTAGATTGCTTGTCGCAAGGTTGTCCAAGAACGCTTGCCAGCCCCACCCCCATTGCTGCTTATGTTCTTAGCATTGACGCGGCCTCTGCTGTTTTTTCAGGTGGAAAAGCACTGCGCCATTCTGTTTGTGTGCATCCTGCAGAAGCAGCACCCTGGCAGGAACAAAGTTCCCTCGCTGAACTTGCAGCTTTGTTTCTGTGTGTGTATGTTTGTTGGTGCTTTGCATGGGACTTGTTTGTTGCTGCTTTGTGGTTTTCTGTGTGTGCCTTTGGATCAGTCCCTTCCCATTTTCATGGAAGGGTACGGTACCACGCAATGATTCGGAATCGGAATCATCTGACCTTGCATGTACATTGGCCACCGCCAGCGGCCACCGCTTTGTTTGGTTGGGGTATTTGCTCCGGTATTTAGTTGATGTAGGATGTTGTCGGACCGTCAAACCACTGTCTCCATGGTGTCACTAGTTGCAGTAAGCTTTGAACGAACCCTAAGTCACTATGTCAACTCGATGCCTCCAATAATTTGAACCCTCACGTCCCAGTGTCAGTCTGTGCGTTTGGTACGCGCAAGGCACCATCCCAGACCATCCATACATAGAATAGTTATATACATCTATCTACACGTTATATACAGATCATACATTTCCTTGCAGTTTTTGCCACTTCCGTCTTTGACCCTGGAAGCAAGCCTACCCAAAATTATTTTTGCAAAGACCAGATAAAGGCCAGCTACTAACACCAACACATCTTCATAAAGATGAGCCAAGTAGTGATCCTGAATAGTTCTTTGCTGTGGCTCTTGAAGCGATGTATTAAATCTTTTTGCAGTGTTTGTATTAAATTTCCGTGCAGTTTGGATGTTGTGTTTTTTCTATCTAATTGGGGGTCTATGTAACGGTATTGCAAGGAACTGCCCAAGGTCTTCCTGCCTCTTCCAGCCTTTGCCAGAGTCGAAAGCGAGAACTTGAGGTATTGGTACCGTGGGCGCTTCTCGAAAGCGCGTCCGGTGGTGTGCCCTTCCTTTGTGGCCGACCACGCAGAGACTCGGCCGAAGCGACGCGACGACGACCACGCGACGAGACTCAAGCCGCTTAAGCCCTTTGTGCCGCAGGTAGCTACATCGGGGTGGTCGTAAGGGGTTATACAATCTAGGCAAGTGTGACGGACATGGAGTGTCTGGTTATTAACGAGAACCCACGTGTGATTTCTCAAGCTCTATATTATAGGCAGGCGCCCCAGAATACGGCCAACTCACATGATTTGACCATAGGTATTCCCCCCTTGGAGCGTGTTGGACATTGGGAGAAGGCTTTTTGACCACCATCACAATGCATGTAAATTTTACAGAGGCCACCAATGAAATAGCAAGTCAATCCTGCAAAATTTTTAGAAGCCTGATGAATCCGGCGCCTCAAACCCCATGCACGCCAATTTTTGACACTTCCCCGGTCAGAAAAAGCCGCGCCAGAAGTGATAGCTGGTACTGAGGGAGCTACGGCTCGGGTGTCGCGTTCATGATCCATCTTCTCCATGAAAAACGAGGAGCTGTTCGGGGCTTTCCCGGGCTAGATCGGATGCTACAGGATGCGTTCCCAACTTCTTCGGAACTTGGCCTCTGAGGACATGGCCGGCTTCTTCGGTCTGATCTCTGTTGCTGTGATCCGGCGCCACGCCTTGCGCCTTGGACGAGCACCGCAGATGGCCTCCTGCGGCGGAAGGAAGGGCCCGGTTGGTGCGAGCTGCGGCGAGTGCTGCGGGAAACGGCTGTGGGGGGGGGAGGTCAAGTGCTGCTGGGCTCATGGACTGCAACCTGCACGGATTGTATGAGGTAGAGCTGCAAAAGGTTCCTTGGAAAAAGGGTAGAAAGTGAGTGGTTTCCATGTTTTGTGATGTTTGAAAGCTGTTTGACTGGATTGATACTGTACCGTACTATACCGATGGAATATAGGACCATGGGTCCCTCAGCCTCAAATCAAGTACCCCCCTGGCCTGATCAGGGGTTCAACATGATCGGTGGATCGAACCAGACCTTCAAACCGCCGAGGTCCACGCTACTCGTCCTGGGCGCCTTACCATGGGTGGTCCGTGAGGAGCTGCCCTTCAAGGCCCGTGACCAAAGAGTCCTCTCAAGTTGGGAGCAAGTCTAAGGAGTTTGGAGTGCCAGGGATTTATTGGCTTTGTCCGAACTGACGTTACAGGTCAGTAAACAATTAACACATTATTAACATTATGTTTGAATAAGGCCTTTACTAATCATCATCATCATCATCATCATCCACTGTTACTGGTAATAGGATAGACCCAAGGGATTTAGCTTATACCCAAACGCTCATGGACCCTCATATATGGAGGGGTCGGACCCTCATATGGAGGGGTCTGGGGTCTCAAATCCCTATGGTTTTGAGGGACCAAAGCCTGTTTGGAGCGTCTGGGTAAGAGCCCCTTTTGGTACAAAGAGTTTGGAGCAGTGAGCGCGGACCGAACACCCGTTTTGCACGGTGCTTTTCGCGACAGGAATCAGCACAGCGCCATGCGCATACCAAATGGCCTGGGAGCCCAGAGAGCTTGTTTGGCACGGACACTGCAAAACCGCACGCGCAGGAGTGGCTTTTGCCCTTACCTACACTCCCAACAACTAACATCCTACATGGACCCCTTTTGACCCTACCACCCCAGTCTGCCCCATGTAAACATGTGGTTGCCAGTCCCATGGTGTCGTGTCTGGCTTTGGAAAAGAGGTGTTTTCATCGAAACCCATTGCCAGTCCCACGCCTTGCTGGTGCGGGCGAGAGAACAGGTGATGGCCTGGGGATGGATCGAGGTGGTGAACTCCAGGGTGACGAGGTCCCGCTGGTGTGGCCTTTCAAGCCGATAGATATAGCGAGTCCGTTGAATGAGTCCTGGATAGACTTGGGGACCAGGATCCCAAGAACGGCTGTGCCTTGTAAGTGCTTGTGCTGGTTTTTTCAGCACTCCACGCCTCAAGGGAGGCGCGCGTGCTCCAGAGTATGTAGTTCTGGTGTCGTTGTTGGGTGTTCGTAGGCAGCTGCATGCGTTTGTCTCAGCTGGCAGAGTACAGTGCACCCTAAATGAACGGGCGGCAGTCGCTTGGAGCTACAAGAGTTGATTAACTCCACTGCGATCTCGAGCGACTACATGGAGTGCGCTCGGAGTGATACGGAGTGTCATCATGTTCAGAGGTTTGTGCTTTACAATGACAATAATCCAAAGAGTTCCAGGGAGGTTTTGTGGAGACTGGACCCTCCTAGATTGAATTGACAAAAACTGGACGTGTGTTGTTTTGTGTCATTACCCAGACACTCCATGTATGGCGTATTTACCTATGTCGGGGTGGTTGAAACGGGGTCAATGTAAGTAAACAATCCATAATAGTTCATACATGGAATGTCTGATAATGTGTGGGATATGCCTTTGCACATGTGGAAAGGATTTGCATGGATTGTGACCGGTGTCATGACCACCTGATACCAACCCCAGGCCATTCGCATGTCTCCGCCCGCGCCCAGGTGGCTTAGATGCTTGGCGGACTTGAGTCACCCAAGACATTTCAGTTGATCTGTGTTGTTGGTTTCTCTCTTTGTTTTATATGTTTGTTTGCTTTGCCTTGGTTTGTTTGGTTTATCTTGGATATCGATTGGTGAGTCGTTTTGCTTGTTTGTTTGTTTATTTAAGTATCTATTTATGTTATTGTTTTCCCCCTCTTGTGTCCGTCTTGAGTTTTTGTTTGTCTGCTACTATAGGCCATGGGCGGTTTCTTGATTTGCGATTCTACCTCCGCGGCTTGTGCCGCCGCGGCGTTCAGATACAGCCGAGTCTGGTTCAGAAAGAGTCTGGTTCGCAGCGGCGTTCAGGATGGTTCCGCTTGGTGCTGTTCTTCATTCTGGTCATTGAGGCGCGTACCTACCGCGGTACTCGTTCATGACCGGGACCGGGTCGACCGGTTTGGGGAGGGGTACCGTACTGGCACCACCCTGAAAGAAGAAGTCCTATCCACTGAGAAGGATCCTTATAGGTAATGTGGTTCTTATAGTCCATGTTCTTCGTCTGATCTTATAGTCCATGTGAGATCTTAGACATAGATTCTTTTAGGATCCTGATCATGTCTGATCCACTTATAGGTAATTTGGTTCAGAAGTGATTTCAGGGCAGTAAGATGTGTTCATTTGCGTGACACAGTGAAGTCGCTTGTCTTGTAGGACAGTAGCTGAGTGTAACAACACCCGTGACCCAGAAGAATATGAAGCTTTTCAACTTGAGACCTCGATCTATTCCTAATTCACGCGGGGGGGGACTTTAGGCACTGATTTGGTGTGTGTGTGTGTTACTCCATCTTTCTCAAGCTCCTCTAAACCTAACACACACACACACCTCTTTCTCTCTCTCGACATATATACACATCAAGTATGTATGTATGTATGTATGTATGTATGTATGTATGTATGTATG